AGTTTGAGGCTACAGTGAGCTGTGATCAAACTACTGCCCTCTAGCCTGAGCAACAGAGGGAGACCCTGTCTCTTAAAAAAAAAAAAAAAAAAAAAAAAAAAAAAAAAAAAGGTCATACTGAATTAAAGTGGGTCCTATCCAATGACTGGTGTCCTCATAATAGGGAAATTTGGACAAAGACACACACAATACTTTCCAGCCAGCCAATTAAACTATTATGAGAGACTGTTACTCTTTTCTTCTCACATTACTATTTATTGCTGCAAACCCCTGAATCCTGCCATTCTCTGGCCCTATCAGATGAAGGGGAACCTAATTATTGTCACATCTCAGTTAGGGACCTTTCTGTATCTCACTGTCATTGAGAACTTCGACCTCATATGATTTGTTGACACATCATACCTCAAAATAAAATTGGAGGTTATCAAGCAGAATATGATATCCCTAATTACAGCTCTCCTTTAGAATATAGTCCTCTGTGATAAAATGAACCCAGATAGCAGAACTTGTTGCACTTACTACATTGTATCAACTCACCAGACTAGAGAGCAAACATATCTACAAAGAGCAGTTATGCTTCTGGAATAGTTTGTGACTTTGGAATGCTTTGGAAACAAAGGGTGTTTCTTGTCTCTGCTGGAATTCCCATAAAAAATGGATAAGTTAGGGGGGCTGGGTGCGGTGGCTCATGCCTGTAATCCTAGCACACGCCTGTAATCCTATGACTCTGGGAGGCCAAGGCGGGTGGATTGCTCCACGTCAGGAGTTCAAAACCAGCCTGAGCAAGAGCGAGACCCGTCTCTACTATAAATAGAAATAAATTAATTGGCCAACTAAGATATATACAGAAAAAATTAGCCAGGCATGGTGGCGCATGCCTGTAGTCTCAGCCACTCAGGAGGCTGAGGCAGTAGGATAGCTTGAGCCCAGGAGTTTGAGGTTGCTGTGAGCTAGGCTGATGCCACGCCACTCACTCTAGCCTGGGCAACAAAGCGACACTCGGTCTCAAAGAAAAAAAAAAAGAAGTTAGGGGAAGGCTGGGTGTGGTGGCTCACGCCTGTAATCCTAGCACTCTGGGAGGCCAAGGCGGGCAGATCACTTGAGGTCAGGAGTTCGAAACCAGCCTGAGCAAGAGCGAGACCCCCATCTCTACTAGAAAATAGAAAGAAATTAACTGACCAACTAAAAATATATATACAAAAAATTAGCCGGGCATGGTGGCACATGCCTGTAGTCCCAGCTACTTGGGAGGCTGAGGCAGGAGGATCGCTTGAGCCCAGGAGATTGAGGTTGCTGTGAGCTACGCTGATGCCACGACACTCACTCTAGCCTGGGCAACAAAGTGAGACTCTGTCTCAAAAAAAAAAAAAAGAAGTTAGGGGAACTGTTAAAGGATGCCTACTTCTGGGAGAGGTGCCTGTTATCAACATTGAGATCCATACAAAAAGAGTTGATATCAAAGCTTGTTGTGCAAACAAGCAGCCTCAACCAAAGTTACATGAAACCTTCAAAGGAGAAATCGCTGGATGGATTCAAAGAAACCATTACAAAATATTAATGTTTAGTCCCTTACTCAGAAAAAAAGTAATGAGGGAAAATCTGGTTGGCTCCCTTCACTCAGGTAATCTCAGGTACTCCCAAGATGGCTGCTTGGTGGGACCATATGATTTCAAAATGAATATTAGCTAAATTTCTCTATGAAACTATGCATTGTGATACAGATAAATTGATCACTATCTTAAATTAACATTGATAGGGAAACTTTAAAAAGCAGCTGAGGTTACTTTGGAGTCACATGTGACCTGGCAACAACATAATCCTAGAAAAACTGTAAATCTAAGACATGGTCAGCAGCTGGAGCCTCAAGTGCCCTTTGGGCACCTTCAGATAGATTTTTATCCAGTTTTCATTCCCCATGGAATTTAACTGTGTTTTAACTATTGTATATGTCTATGTTTAGGATGAGTTGAAGCATTTCCTTGCCAAAAAGCTATGGCCCTTATAGTTGCTAAAAAAGGCTGTTTGATTTTGTTTCCAGCCTGAGACATACCAACTTTTATATCAAGCAACAAAGGCAAACATTTTACTGGGACCATTATAAAAAGTCTCTGTAAGGCATTACTCATTACGAAAAACGACACTGTCCTTACCACCCATAATCTGGGAAGTTGGGAGAACCCATGGCATTTTTAAAGTTCACAAATTTTTCAAAAACCCTTGAGCTTCCTTGACCAAAGGTATTCCCACTAGTCTTTATGGCCATGTGGCCCACTCCCTCAGGGACACCTTACTTCGCCCCCTAAAAATGAGCATTTGGAAAGCTCATACATCTAGGAATTACACTTCTGACACCAAGCCTGAAGTCCATCCTCTTCACCATAAAGCTTTCCCACTCCGCACCTCCCTTTCAATTTTGCTAAATGTAAATCAAATGCACTGTGAATGGATAATTGCACCTCAGCCTGAGAACTGCACAATAACAAGGGGTCGAAAGCTCTCTGAGATGAAGGTCTGCATCATCCTATTAGAGAAGCAACCCAGGCCAGCTGAAGTACTGGCTGCGGGTAAGGTCAGCCTTGAATAGGTGGTATGTGGAGGAAGACAGTGCATATCAATTCTGGCTTTGGGATCAACTGAGGAGGTGAGGCCTGGAGTTTGTCCCAATCACCTTTCATTTCAAGGTTTTATTCTAAAAATTGTGACCATTTGACACTGACATGGAGTAAATGAAAAATAAATAAAAACAAAGTAAAAGTTTTGACCAGTTACCATCCTAGATAGTCAGTGGAAATGAGCTTACCGTGTAGAAGCGGCTCTGAGTGGTACAAGAAGTGGACCATCACAGATGCTGTCAGTATCTCACCTGTGCCTCCTTGGACACCTTTGCCATGTTTCATGCTCAGCAGCTACCTGAGCACTTTTACTCCCAAGAGTCAGCACCGGAGTCTCTTTGTCAGAGGGCTGCCCTCTGGAGCAGAAATATCCTGGAGGGCCTGGGAATTGGCAGCCACAAACCTTAAACAATAACTGATGGGCGTGGGGTTCTAATACATTAGCTTCTTTGTCTAGATCATAACAATGTGACCTACACTGTCTCCGGAGCCAGCTGTGAAACTGACTCAAAGTTACAGGGGGTTGCTTGATAACGTGCCTTTTCTTTTCCTTTCTTAAAGTCCTTTCCCTCCCAGGTCCATTCTTTTACAACATTTTCCCCAGAGAACACTTCTTAAATAAATACTTGCACACAAACTTTCATCTCAGAATCTATTTCCAGGCAACCCAATCTAAGACGGCTGAGGACAGCTGAAAGTGTATGGCTGCTAACCATGGACTATGAAATATTAAGATAATAAGAATTTGAATAATATTCCTCCAAAGGAAAAAATAACCATAAAGTTCTCCTCATCTCCCCTGACTCTAGCTGTGGGAGGTGGGTTGTAGAGACTGTCGAAGGGGAAGAGAACTGGAAAAGCTCTTGCCATATAGAGTATTAAAATTGTTATCACTTTGGAAATTTTCATTCTCCAGGTGGGAGTTATAGATATTCTGGCTCCCAAGAGACAACAACTACAAAAGGAAATAAAAACTTTTATGATGCTGGCCAGGTTTGGTGGCTCATGCCTGTAACCCCAGCACTTTGGGAGGCTGAGGTTAGAAGATTTGCACCCAAAAGTTCAAGACTAGCCTGGGCAACATGGTGAGACCTTGTCTCTACAGGAAAAAAAAATTAGCTGGGCTTGGTGTCTCCATACCAGGTGCCTGGTATGGAGAGTGACTCCTCAGTACACCCTTACTATTACAATGTCCCTAGTTTCACTTCTACTTAAAAATCTGTCTCTCAAGCAAATAATGGCAGTGCTTTCCTGCCCTTCCTCTTCATTCTGAAAGTTACCTTATTAACAGAAGTACCTTTACTTTGGTAACAAAGGCAGGAGTATGTTTAGAAGCCTGTCACATTCTTACATATACAAGAATGTGTTATTGGTATTTACGGCTATTGATGTCATCTCCTTTATATACCCACTGCCAGTTATGATCCATTACTTACTACCTGCAAAGTATAACTCTGGAGCTGAAAATAGAATGATAGTTTGTTTTTGAATAAACCCTAAAATGCTTTCATTTCATACCTTTGTTCTACGAGGAAAAAATTTACACAGTGCTCTACATGTTTTGCCCAAGCAGAGTACAATAATAAAGTTTAGGTCAAATTACGATTTGTAATTAGAAAATACATACCATTTTGGTATTAAATTTAGGGATAAAATGAACCCATGTCCATGTATGTATTTATAGACACTGAAGCACAAAGCAGCCAGTCTAGCTGTGCCCAGTGTTTCACAATTTTGGCTGAATCTCTGTTCTACAGCAGAACAGAGTATAAGCTCCTGATGGGCAGGAACCATCTTTTTGTCAGCTCTGGATTTCTCCAAGTGGTAGCACAGTGTTCACTCAAAGAGGTGAATTCAATTAAACAAGAAAACAATTTTTACAAAACAGTTAATGATAATGGCTAAGTTGGCAGTAGACTTGAACCTAGATGTTTAAACAATGCCATCCTCACTCATTTTAGAGTGAAACTATAAGATAGAAAGGGCCAGGCATGGTGGTACACGCCTATAATCCCAGCTACTTGGGAGGCTGAGGCAAAAGGATCACTTGAGGCCAGGAGTTCTAGACCAGCCTGGGCAACAAAATGAGACCCTGTCTCTACAACAAATTAAAACGTTAGCTTGGTGCTGTGGTACGGTAGCCTTAGCTACTCAGGAGGCTGAGGCAGGATTGCCTGAGCCCAGGAATTTGAGGTTGCAGCGAGCTACGATGATGCCACTGCACTCTAGTCCAGGTGGCAGATGAGACCCTATCTCAGAGAAAACAAACCAACCAGCCAATCAAAAAAAAAAAAAAAAAAAGGAGGGAACGGGGAGAGAATTAAATTGAATTAAGCTTTAAACTAAAACCTCCAAGTCTATAGTAAGGAAGAATCACAGTAGGTTTAGTCAGCGAAAATGACTGGTACTTAAAACAAATTTTAATGAAAACATTCTCATCATTTTAAATAAAAATGACTTGCATTTTTAAATCTGGAGCTACTCTGGCATTAGGACTTAATTGTTTCCTCCTCAACAGGTTTCAGATGCCACTGCACTACTAATTCCCCAGTGCTCTTGAGGCACGTATTAGACATGTTTTCTTCTGTTGGAAGTCCTTGTGGCAACTTCAGGGGCTTGATTCTGTGACATAAGAAAATGCATTTAGATAGGTGAATTAAGGTCTAGTGCTCTGTATCACTGTACGATGACTATAACATATACATAGTTAACAATATTGCATAGTTTCAAATAGCTAGAGATATTGAATGTTCCCATCACAAAGAAATAAATGTTTGAGATGACAGATATGCTAATTACCCTGATTCAATCAGTATACACTATATGTATTGAAACATCACTGTGTAGCCCATACAATTATGTGTCAATAAAGTAAACAAAATGTTTTTTCAGAATATTAAAAAATAAGAAAATGCATTTAGAATTACACTAGGCAACACATGTTTAAAACTGCTTAGGGCAGTCTACTACCTAATTGCTGGTAAGGATAATGGCAGCCTACAAGCAGGTCCAAAAGGGACCGCTGAAGCAACACAGAGTGTGGCATAACCAAGCGGAAAAAGAAACAGAAGGACATAGGCAAAACTCCTGGAAGTGATGGAAATGAGGAAAAAGAATGAGGAGGGGAAGTGGTGCATGCGGCTTGGACAAGCGGACCCCAGCAAAGGTGGCCTTGGAGAAGATGCCGGAGAAGCGGCAGATGGAAAGGATTCTGAAGAAAGCATCCGAAACCCACAAGCAGAGAGTAGAGGACTTCAGCAGACACTGGATACATTCACAAAGCATTAGGACATCCCCTAAGTCAGCTGGATGAAGTAGCGTTCTGGCCTTGGGTACAGAGCAGCATCGAGGCAAAGCAGAAGACCAAGTCAGGGTTATGTCTGGTCCCTCTGGTATTTTCTGGAAATATTGCTTTATGCACATCCTCACATTTTCTGCTGTGACAGTGCTTTTCAAAGCTGTGTGATCTTATCCTAGAACTTGATTAAAGTAAGACTATCATTTCAAAAACAAACAAACAAATAAAAAATTGCTGATAAACAACAAACCTTATCAAATGTTTAACCACTTTCAGTTTTGCATTCACTGAAGGGATGTTCTTGTGAACTTGAGGGGTATGTGCCTATGAAGAAAAGAAACAACATTATGGATCAATTTAAAAAAGAGTTCTGTGTTTCAATAAAGTGTTATATTGAAGGCTCATTCTGTCTGAAACTTACAAGTAAGTCACACTAAGTAATACACTTAAACACAAAAATAATAAACATATACCTTAAAGTTAAAAAAATGTAAAATTTAAAGCCAATTTACACAACACTAAAGATGACTAAAATAGTTGCATACTTTTTGTAATCCCAGCATCTTTATTACATCTTTTTCCCAATATGGACGTCTTCTTGTACTTCTTATTCTGGTAACAATATGTAGTTTATGAGGGTTCTGTGGATCCCCACCATACTTTTCATGATCTTCAGGTGAAGGCTGAAACACCTACAAAGGAGGAATTATAAATGGTAAAGTTTCAACTTACACACAGCTTCTATGCACCTCCCATTTTTTTATTAAATCACACCCCCCATGTAATGATCTCATCCTTTTTTTTAAATTATTATTTTTTTAGTTTTTTTATTATTTTATTTTTCTATTTTGTTTTTTCTTACCATCTTATTCTGGATGTGATGATCTCATCCTTAATTAGTATATAATTTTCAACTTCAAATTGAACATTTCTTTTCTTTTCTTTTTTTTTTTTTTTTGAGACAGAGTCTCACTCTATTGCCTGGGCTAGAGTGCCGTGGCATCAACCTAGCTCACAGCAACCTCAAACTCCTGGGCTCAAGCAATCCTTCTGCCTCAGCCTCCTGAGTAGCTGGGAGGGACTACAGGCACATGCCACTATGCCCAGCTAATTTTTTCTATATATTTTTAGCTGTCTAGCTAATTTCTTTCTATTTTTAGTAGAGACAAGGTCTCGCTCTTGCTCAGGCTGGTCTCAAACTCCTGAGCTCAAACAATCTACCTGTCTTGGCCTTCCAGAGTGCTAGGATTACAGGTGTGAGCCACTGCACCCGGCAGGTACATTTTATAATATGTGTAATTTACCACAATAAAAAAAATTAGGGAGAAAAAACCTGCAAATAAACAAACAAAAAACCCACGTTTTACAAAGCTAAACATAGTCTGTACCATACAATCCAGCAATTGCACTCCTAGGTATTTACCTGTTGAGCTGAAAACTTATGTCCACATAAAAACCTGCATACGAATGTTCATAGCAGCATTTTTCATTATTGCCAAAAAAAGGGGAAACAACCAAGATGTACTTCAATAAGTAATTGCACAAATAAACTGTATATCCACACAATGCAGTATTATTCAGCAAAAAGAAGAAATAAGCTATCAAGCCATGAAAAGACATGGAGGAAACTTACATGCATATATTATTAAGTGAAAGAAGCCAGTCTGAAAGGGCTTACATATTCTTTTTTTTTTTTGCGACAGAGTCTCGCTTTGTTGCCCAGGCTAGAGTGAGTGCCGTGCCGTCAACCTAGCTCACAGCAACCTCAAACTCCTGGGCTCAAGCGATCCTACTGCCTCAGCTTCCCATGTAGCTGGGACTACAGGCATATGCCACCATGCCCGGCTAATTTTTTCTGTATGTATTAGTTGGCCAATTAATTTCTTTCTATTTATAGTAGAGATGGGGTCTTGCTTTTGCTCAGGCTGGTTTCGAACTCCTGACCTGGAGCAATCTGCCCGCCTTGGCCTCCCAGAGAGCTAGGATTACAGGCGTGAGCCACAGTGCCCGGCCAGGGATTACATATTCTATGATTCCAAATATATGACATTCGAGAAAAGGAAAAACTATAGAGTTAGTAAAAAGATCAGCGGTTGCCAGGAGTTGGGAGGGAGGCATGAATAGGTGGAGCACAAGTGATATTTAGGGCAGTAAGACTATTCTGTATGACACTACAATGGTAGATACAATGACATTATGCATTTGTCAAAACCCACGCAACTGCATAGCATAAAGAGCAAACCCTACTGTAAACTATGGTCTTTAGTTAACAATGTGTCAATGCTATTTCATCCATTGTAACAATTGTACCACACCAATGCCAGATGTTAATCAATTGTACCACACCAATGCCCAATGTTAATAACAGAGGGAACTGTATATGCTGGGCAGAGGGCACACATAGGAACTCTGTACTTTCTCATGAATTCTTCCATAAACCTAAAACTGCTCTACGAAATAAAGTCTACTAATTTAAAAAAAACAAACAACAACAAAAACAAACCAAAAGAAAATAAAAGCAAAAATCAATGGAGGGCTTCATCAATGTTTTCTGAAAGAATGATAGGTACATACAAATCTAACAGAAAAGGCTGGAAGATCCCAAGTAGCAATGATCAATACAGAAAATGAAGAGTCATATAGTGAGAGCCTGCCTGAGTAGGAAGACCTACTGTTTGCTCAGGACAATGGCGATACACATACACACACCCCCCACAAAAACCATAAGCAGGTATAAACAGACTTTGAAATAATAAAAATGCACTACTGTGGAGACCAGTGGCATAGGTAACAAAACACAGTTTTATTCTTAATAATTATTAGCTACATAAATTTTATGTTTTAAACTGTACACCACTACCTACAACCACACATAATTTAACATAAAAGCTTTCCATATTACAAAAACAGGTACCTTTTAAGACATGTTTTTAAAAAAACAACATACCAAAAAACAAAACAAAACAAAACAAAACAAAACACTTTGTTCTTACTTTATCCGGAATTCTTGACCTGGTAAATTTGTGACGAATCCAGTCTGTACAAATCAGAGATTCTGCACCTTTTGTCACAGTCTAAAATATGATATAAAGCATTTATTTTTTTAGAACTGTTTAGTGCAGAAATCCATACTCACTAATCATCAGGTGACAAAAGTCTGTTCTAACCTAACCTATAACTGTTAAAAGTTTATTTTAGCTCCTTAGCTGAATGAATATATCCCATCTAACCACTGACATATAAAACTAAAAGCACATAAATATAGATTTCTAGATCATGTGTTGGTAACCTTTTTCTGCAAAGGACCAGATAGTATGCAGTCTCCACTGCCAAGACTTGAGTATGCCATTATTGGGTGAAAGCAGTCACAGATAATATGTAGTAAACAAGTGGGTGTGGCAGGCATGTTTCAATAAAACTTTATTTACAAAAATAGGTGGCAGGCTGAATTTGGCCTGGAGGCCATAGTTTACCTACTTTTGCTCTAGGCAACATTCAAGAATTTACCTTCAACAAGATAATGTAAAAGAAATCCAAAATGAGTTTCCAGTTTTCTTTATAAGTCCTAACAATGCTACCACTCCTAGTTCTTATCTCTTGTTTCTATTATATATTTCTCCAATCCTGTTTCTCTCAGGCTGCCAAAGAAGGATTCATTGCTAATCTTTCATACCAGGATATTGCTCTGTGAATGGGCAACAGTCATTCCCTTGCAGCCTTCCCTATATTTCCAAGATGGCATAAACAACTAGAGATTAGGCAGGAAGGACTGAGGGTAGGAAAGGAAACACTGAGCTTCTAATCCTGGTTCTGCCACCTGTGAGACTTGGAACACTTACCTTCTCAGAGGGTCAGTTTCCTCAGTTCCAAAATGGAAATAATACTGACCTCACAGGAGTAATCTGAGGTTAAGATAACATATGTAAAGTACCTGACATTAGCGTGGAGTAATCTGAGGTTAAGATAACATATGTAAGTACTTGACATTAGCGTCATCTCCTGCCAGTAGCAAGTCTATACCTAGGCTCTGGTCCTTAAGAGTAGATTAGGCTGCAGTACTGTACTTTTTAAAAGAAAGTCTAGAACGAAATACACGAAAATACTAACACTAATGATCTCTCAGAGATGATTTCTCTTCCTACTGCTTTTCTATATTTTTCTAACTTTCTACGATTGAAAATATATCCCTTTCATAACAGAAGGGGGAAAACACCCCTAAAACTAAGAAGATTAAGGCAGATCAAGGGAAATCAACAGTAGCCATTTTTTTATTGGCATGTTCTCTAGAAAAAGGTCTTTTTTGAATCCTAATCTTTAGGGATAAAAGAGCAGATAAACCATAAATAAACAAAATTAACTGCCAACATTAAAAAATTTATAAAAGTAGGAATTTGTAAAAGCATTTAACTTGCCTATATATTTTGTAATTAGAAAAAAATTCATAAAGAATAATTCTCGAAAAGAACACTTACCTGTAGTCTACCCAAGGGCCTCTGAACTACTTTGCACAAAATCCCTGCCATCAGTGTAGTGATCTATTCTTTTCAGAGGCTATGAGAAATAGAAAATAGATCCATCAGTCAAATATGTCTTGGAAATGAATAGGAAGTTAATTATATGGTCTGGAATTCAATTCTCCTAATTCCTAGTCCAGTACATTTTCTCGATATCATAATACCTTTCTGTTAAAAAGAAAACTAGAACTTTTTTGCTTATATTTTTAAACTATCCTTAATGTATATCCCTTGCTGCTATAACCTAAAATGGTTATGTTTATTAGACACAAAACTACAAAACTATTATAGCCTACGATACTGACTTATACCAAGAGCAGAAATACTAGGTTCATGAACTACATGTATATCTTGGACAAGTTACTTAATTTGTGTTTCAATTTTTTTTTCCCCCAGAAAAGAAAGAAAGTAATACCTATATTGCAAATGAGTTATTCTACAGAGCACCTAAAACAGTACCTGGCACATGTGAAATCCTCAATAAATGGTAATTTTTATTATTATAAAATTACACTATTACAAGGCTAATAAGAATATTCTAACACATGAAAATAGGGTAAGTGTTGTATTTTAGTGTCCACCAGATTCTAGTTCACTCAAATTCTAAGTGAGCTCACTCAAGTCTTTCCTGTGAGGTGGACAAAGCAATAGAGTTGTGGGAATCAATGCAAGATGTCTTCTGAAAAATTCCTCAGCAACTGAACCAATCTAATGCTAATTTATTTTACCATACTTTTCCCTCTCAAATTAGGCATTATATGCTAATCCAAAATTCATTTAGCTTCACACTTTCAAAAATCTTTCTAACTTAGATTTCAACAAAATCCTCCTAATTGGACTTCTGGCTTTCACTGCAGACAAGATTTGGCACATTCAGGGTACTATCGCTGTAGATTTGGCTTCCATTTCCACTCCTCTAACATCTATTTTCCTTATCAGCAGTAAGTCATCTTATTAAATCCTTTATCAGACAATGCCACTCTGCTCAAAATCTTCGAAAAAGCCAGGTTTCTAGAGGGGAAGGCTAGAATGATCCATGTATACCCCATTAGAGTTGGAACATGTTTAGCTTAACATAGATATTGACAGATACAGAAATAATTATAGATGTGTATGTATACATGGATTAGCTCTGTTAGCTGGAAGGATCTAAAAGCAATTGCATCCAGTAGCAATGAGCACACCCAGCACCCAGATCTTGGTTTTTAAGAGCATTCTCTAATACAAAGAATAAGGGTTCTTGGCGAAATGGCTGATTATGTCTGAAGGATCCTGTAGTGCCAGAAAGGTATTACTCAAAAAAACAAAATGATGCAAGTATGTTAAAGGGACATAGGAGCCAACTGAAAGAGCTCCCAATGGCCAAAGCTAGAAACATTTGAGCAAAATAAGTAATGATGTATTGGCTTTTAACCCAAACAAAAATAAATAACCATAAGCCCATACTGATATAAATAAGTTAATAAATTAACGAGAGAATAGAAATAAATATCCCATACAGAAGGATTCAAAATAATTTATGTAGATACTCTCCCCTCAAGAAGGTGGAAATGCTGGACAAGGTGGCTTGTACCAGTAATCCCTAATATTTGGGAGGCTTAGGGGAGAGGATAGCTTGATGCCAGGAAGTCAAGACCAGCCTGAGCAACATAGTGAGATCCTGTCTCTAAAAGAAAAAACCCAAACAAAACAAAAAAACCAAAAAAATAATAAAATCGAGCAGAACCACTCAGCCCATAAGTGCAGGCTATGCTTAATGACTTTCTCCCAAAGAGTACAGTATAGAAAAAGGGAAAATTAACTTTACATTAGAGAAACTTGGCAAACACTACCACCAAAGTCAAGTTGATAACATGTACCCTTAATATAATGGAATGAGAAGAATGGCATTTCACCTCTATGGTCTTCTTCCCCCAAATCCATCCCACTCTAAGAAAAAACATCAGACAAACTCCAATTGTGGGACACTGTACAAAATATGTGATTAGTACTTTATCAAATATCTAACTGCCTCAAAACTATCAAGGTCATCTAAAAGGAGGAAAGTCTGAAGAACTGTCACAGTCAAGAGGAGCTTGCCTAAGGGAGACATGACCATTAAGTGTAATGTGGCATTCTGGATGGGATCCTGGAATAGTAAAAGGAAATTAGCAAAAACTAAGGAAATTTGAATAAAGTACGGGCTTTAATTAACAATTTATCAATATTAGTTCATCAGCTGTAACAAATGTACCACACTTACATGATGTTAATAAAAGGGGAAGCTGGGTGTAGCATATATAGCAACTCTGTACTATCCTCACAACTTTTCTGGAAATCTAAAATTATTCAAAAATAAAATTAATTTAGGAAAAAATAAAAAACTTCTAATGCCTCTCCACTTCAATCACAGCAGTCCTTAACTCCCTACTCCCCACTACCAACCATCCCTACCCTGCCCCCTCTCCCTACCTACCTCCAGGACTCCATCTCCAAGCTTCTCCCCCTTGCTTGACCTGGTACTAGCCAAGCAGGCATGCTCCCTTTGGCTGTTTCCTCTCCTGGAATGATCCTGATATTTACATGGCTAATTCCCTTACCTTTTTCAATTTTTGGCTCAATTCTCATCATCTCAATAAGGTCTACCCTGATCACATTATTTAACATTTTCATCCACACTACAATTGTCAGCACTCCCAATCCCTTGCTCTACTTGATTTACTTTCCATAGCACCTGTCTTCCAACATAACTTATTTGCTAGGTTTGTTGTTTATTGTCTGTCTCCACTCAATAGCATGTTAGTTCCACACGACAAGGATTTTTAGTATTTTGTTGGTTAGGGTCTTATATTCACAAATGTATTCCAAATATCTACCTAAAGCTGCAAATGTCCTGTAGTAAACACAATATATTTTTGCTGAATGAAGTTCAATTTACAGACTTCAGAAGGTGTGACAGCGAAAGCTATGTTTTTAGTTATGAAGTCTTAATATGTTGCCCAGGTATGCCACTGGCATTGAATTCCTGGCCTCAAGCAATCCTCTCACCTCAGCCTCTAGACTATAAGGTGCACTACTGCTCCTCGGCTCAAAACTTTTAAGTTTTAATAAAGTAAATGTTATTCTTAAAAATTATGCACATAACTCTTGGACCTTGAAACAATTATACTCCTATACAACAGCTTTTCTCTTGCACAGCTGCAATAGGAAAATATAAGGTTTGATCCCATTTATCTTTTAAAAAATGTCTGTGAATGTGTATGTATACACAGAAAAACTCTGGAAGGCTGTCAGAAAAATCATTAACATACACCCGTTAAAGTCTGGTAGGTTTTTTTTCTTTTGTCTTTTTACGATGACTATGCATGCAATGGTTCTTTTAAAAAGCTATTTCTTTTTCTAAAGATACAAAACATATATCTAATTTTAAAAGGGGGGAAACACTACTGAAAATGCAGACCATAGCATTTCTCTTGCAATAAACCGAGATCTGTGAAGCCAAGAATTGAGTGAGTCTCTTTTCTCAGCTAGTGCCTAATAAGTAGTAAGTTGGCAGCCCTCACAACTGGCCCTTGGCAAAAAAGGCAGAACAAGCAGCTTTGTGTAAGTGACGACCAAAACATGGTCGCAAAATCACAGTTATTAGTAAACTGGCAAATATTGTAATTGCCAACTCCAGAAGGTTTGCACTTTAAAATGCAGCAATTTAAAAATATGGCAATTTTGTGTCTTCGTTTTAAAAAATTAAAGTAACACTGATTCTCAATGGGAACCTTAAGTTATGAATAACGCAGCAGCACAGAAAATACCCAAACAAAACCAACCTCGAATTTCCCTTCCCAAGCCGTCCAGCCTCAGCGGCTTCGCTCTTGAATTCCAAGAGTCAGAGTTCAACAAGCCGCGCGGCCCTAGACCCTCAGAATTGGGAAACAGGATCCGCGACCGGCCAGTGGTTTTTCCGGGACCAATAAAAAGGGATCGAGAGGCAGTCCCAATTAGGTCGCTGTAACCTGCCAACTCGACTCAGAACGGAACAGGGAAAATCAATCAGCATCTGCAGAGGGTTCCCAGATACATACATACTCCTGGTGAAAAATGCAATACTTTCGTGCCCTCATTCCCCACTCACCAGCACCCGCTGGACATTCAGCCTGAATCTTCCCATCGAGGGGAAGCAGAACAGAGGAAGAACGACCAAGTACGACACTCAAACCCTGCCGGCGCAGTGCTTGCCATCTGCGAATCCGGGCATTTTAGTTCCGCCGAAATTTCTCCCACTGAAGAAGCGCCACAGAAAGAGAGCGCAGGCTCGTGCGCGTCACGTGACCGCGTCCCGGAAGCGCAGCAAATCCGCCCACCTTCAGCCTGGATGCGGAGGGGAGTGCCTGGAATTATGGCGCAGTCTGGGCTTGGGCAGGATCCCGAGAGCACTGCTGCAGTCACCGTGCTAAAGCGGGCGGTGGAACTGGATTCGGAGTACCGGTACCCGCAGGCTCTGGTGTGCTACCAAGAGGGGATTGATCTGCTCCTGCAGGTTCTGAAAGGTGAGCAATGAGCCTTGACTGGGAGGACCTGAGGAAAAGGAGCTGGCTGTCGCTGTGACTGGGATAGAGTGAGAGAGTTAAAAACGATTCTTTCACACGGCGAAGAAGCAGTCAAGAGGCTGAAGATGGGATAGATCTTTAATAGACTGATGTCATCAAGAAAATGAGTGTGGGTGTGTGTGTGTTACACTATGCTAGATTTTAAAAGACTTAAGAGACATAACCAAATGTAATATGTAGTCTTTGAGAGGACCTGAGTTTGAATGTGCTTTAAAAGACATTTTTGGATCAATCTGCAAAGATGGAATATGGATTGGGCGACATTAAAATTATTAATTTTGTTAGGCAATGTGATTTTTTCGGAAAAACTGTCTTTAATTTTTAGAGATGCAGACTAAATTATTTTGGAAAGAAATGTCATGAGGTCTGCAATTTAATTTTACTTAAAAAAGTTGAATATGGCAAAATATGCTAACAATTTTTAAAATTTGGGTGCTGGGCAATAAGGGTGTTAGTATACTATTATTCTTACCTTTCTGTTTCAACATTTTCAGTAAAAGTTAAAAAAAATCACATAGCAGAAGAAGAAAAATTTTTTGTTAAATGAAAGTACTGAAATTCGGTGTGAGAAATATGCAAGATTGTGAATGGGATCAGTGAGATTTTACTATTGTCAGGTCAGGCCTCTTCGCAGACTGTTGTCCTGGTTCTTTGGCTCCTTGCTTGGAAAATTCACAAGCAGGGCTGGTGTGACAGAGTGAGGACAGACAGGAAACAATTCTATACAGCTTTTATTGCAGAAAAGAAGGGAACTATACAAAGCGAGAGTATGTTCCAAAGAGGAATGGGTCAGTCTCCACTAGTGGAGAAAGACGTTAAGAACGCTCAGCTAGTTTCCTTTTATTGCCTGCTCTGGGGGCGGGTTTACTGCAGGTGTGGGATGTTACCAGATGATTGATATACATGATTGACAGGTGCTCTTATAACAGAGTTGTAGCTCCACAGGTGTGTATGTCTTAAAAACCTCAACTTCTTGCTCTTTTCAGTTGTTAGCTGCATTTTCCTGCAGTCCCTTCCCCAGCTTCACCACTACTAGGAACTGCTCTGCTGGCCTGTATCTGCCACCTGCAGATTTGTTCCCTGCCTAATACTAGTAGGTAGTTGTTCAGTGTTGAGAAGTAACCAAATTCCTTAATGCCCAGCACAACCCCTGGCTCATAGTAGACACCTAATAATTATATACTAAATTGATAAAACCAACCTCTGCTCCCCAATGCCTGGAGCTCCTAGTCTGGACCAATCTGGGGTGAGGAACCTGTGGCCTCAAGGCTACGTGTGGCCTTGGCTGAATCCAAACTGGACAGAACAAATCCTTTTTGAAGATAATGATAATGATGAACATGACAGCAACAATAAGCATAGCTATCCTTTATGAGTACTGAGTGCCAGGCAGAGCACATTAAAAGCATGATCTCGTTTCATCCTTTACAATTGCCCTGTGAAGTAGAAGTTGATGGTATTCTCCATTTTACAGCATAGAAAAGTGGTTAGCTTTCAAATTTTGCCCCTAGGAGGTGGTAGAGCCACAGTTGGAGCCCAAGGCCTTAATGACTGTCTATACTGCATCCCAAAAAGAGAGTGTACAGTGTTCCTCAGGTGGACCAAGTCCTGGCTGCTCTAGGAGTCTAAAGCAGGAGAATCACAAGAGTTCAGCTCTAGTGAGTTTCACTGATCCTGTAGAGGTTACAGAGACAGTGACATGACAGAAACAAGTTAAGACCCCACATGCAAATAACTCTAATGTAGGGAATAAGTGCCAGGAGAGAGATAATAGACATGTGCAGTGAGGATAAATAGTTAAAGGTCATTTAGGAGCAGAAAGGTAGAAGTGATGTTTGATAATGGGCTTTGGAGGAAAAAGTAGAATTTAGAAGTCAGAAATTCAGCTAAGAGTATTCAAATTCTGTCTGTGCTGTTTTACCAAATAAGTGATTCAGCTGATTCTGTGTATATATCTCAAGAGGGAGAGTGAGAAGTAAAGGGTGGAGGTACATAGGGGCTTGGATCACATTGTGAAAGGCCTTGACTGCCAGGAGATTTTAACTCATTGCATAGGCAAGGAAAACCATTTAAGGTCTTTACAAAATTAGAGTACAAAATTTCAGGGCTTGTCTCTCTTAGGAATATGTTCTTCTCTCACAAATATTTGCATGGCATACTCCCGCTACTCCTTCAGTTCTTTACATAAATATCACTTTCTTTGTGAGGCCTTCCCTGACCTCCAGTGTAAAATTACAACCCTGATCCCAGCACTCCCTACCCTTTTTCCTTGCTTTAATTTTATTTAATAGCACTTATCACAATATAATATGCTTATTTTACCAATTTATTTTTATTCTTTTCTTTCCTCCTATGTGAATAGTAGGGGAGTATTATGTCTGATTTATTAACTACCATATCCCAGTGCTTAGAACAATGTCTGGCATGTATTAATAGTTCTCAATAAATATTTCTTGAATAAATGACTGCATGTGGCAAGGGTGTAAAATAGATATGCACATGTAGAGACGGAAGCTAAGACCAATTAAGGCACTACTGCACAAATCAAGATGAGAGTTGAGTACAGCCATTATGTAAAACAGTATGGAGGTTCATCAAAAAATTAAAAATAGAACTATCATATGATCCAACAATTCCACTATGCTATATATCCAAAGGAAATGAAATCAATATGCTGAAGAGGTACTTGCACTCCTGTGTTTATTACAGCACTATTCACAATAGCCAAGATATGGAACCAACCTAGGTATTCAACAACAGATGAATAGATAAAGAAAATGTGGCATGTATATACAATAGAATACTATTCAGCCATAAAAAAGAATGAAATCCTGTCATTTGTGACAGCATGGATGAACCTGGAGGACATTATGTTACGTGAAATAAGCCAGACACAGAAAGACAATTACTGTATGATTTCATATGCAAAACCTAAAAATGTTAATCTCATAGACACAGAAAGTAGAAGAGTGGTTACTGGAGGCTGGGAAAGGGAGGGGGAGAGGTTGGTCAATGCATACATAGTTACAGTTAGGAAGAATAAGTTCTGGTGTCCTATTGCACAGTAAGGTGACTGTAGTTAATGCGTTGTATATTACAAGATGGCTAGAAGAGATTTTGAATGCTCTTACCACAAAGAATAAATATGTGAGGTGCTGGATGATTTGATTTGATCATTACACAATGTATACATGTATCAAAACATCACATTTTACCCCATTAATGTGTATAATTATGTGTCAATTAAAATTAAATACAAATTTTATAAAAAGATGAGAGGTGATAAGCACCTGAACGAGTCAGGGAGGTGAATACCTATATTAGGATAAGGATGTTGAATTATTGGCACTGGCACATGATTAGATGTGGGAGTGAGGTTCTAATGGGAGTCAAAGGTGGCTGTAAGCTTACAAGACCAGAAAACATGGCATGATGACTGAAGGGTGGGTCTACAGACTCTTCTATAATTATCTCAACAACTATCTGAGATACTATTATGGTTTCCATGTTACAGATGAGGATACAGAGAGGTTGAATAACTGTTCATGGTCACACAGCCAAAAGTTAAAAAGCAGGTTTTGAACTAAAACAGTGTGACTCCAGACACTTTGCTCTTAACCATTATTTATACTATCTCTTTGTAAAGAGATCATAAATGCTCCTGACAAAAAAGACAGGATGATTAAAGGTTTTTGTGTTTAGAGGAGCATGTATCAACCTAGTAGAAAAGTATGAGTTTTCCTATCACCTTAGGAGGAGCAAATAGGGTTCCTCACAAGAGATTTATGGATATATTAGGATTTTCTTATGCTATGGTCTTATAGCCATGAGAAAGTTGGGGTCTAAATGATAATAACCATGGCAATAATAGGACTGGAAAGAGAAAGATTTGAGTAATTATATTGATATCAATAAAATGTTGGGAACAAACCTAAATACTCATGGGTAGGGCAGTGGTTGAATAAACTATGGTATATCCACACAATGAAGTACTATACTTCTGTTAAAAAGAGTGAGGAAGATCTTTATGAACTGATATGGAGTGATTTCCAGATACATTGATTGTTAAGTGAAAACTACAAAGGACAAAGGGTATCAATATTTGATATGCTAATTCATGTAAAAAGAAGATAGAAGAAAATATTCATTTGTTCAGAAGAAATACAGGAAGGATAAAACCAGAAAATAAGATTACCTAAAGTAGAGTATGTGGGAAAGAAGTAGAAAGAAGGGGGAAATAGGAATGGGATAGCAGGCTGAGGAGAGAGTGACACCTCGGAATTATGCAATTGTAATATATAAGGAGAAGGGACATAACTAAATGCAGTGTGGAATTCTGAACCAGAAAAGAAACTTTCACTATTGGGAAAATTGGTGAAATTCAAATAAAATTTTAGATAAGTTCATATTATTGTATCAATGTTAATTTCCTAGCTCTGGTAATTGTACTATGGTTTTGAGATATGTTAACTTTAGGGGAATCTGAGTGAAGGGAACTTTGTACCTTTTTTGTAGTTTTTCTGTAAATATAAAATTAATTCAAAATAAAATGTTTTTAAAAATGAGAGATTAAAAATGAAATTATTATGGAAAGTATTAGCAATGTGGAAGGAAGGAAAACAAGGAGGGAGGGAGGAAGCAGAAGTGATTTGGTGATTGATTTGGAAGGATAGGGCATTGGGGGTAAGACTTTATTGATTATGTATATTCAAAAATGACATATTTTTGGGGTAGCTGTAAAAATGACCATTAACTATAATAGGGAGGTCTGGAAGAGAAGCTGGTTTTGTGGAAGATAAATAGATATCCTTTGCTTTTATTTATGTATGTATGTATGTATGTATGTATGTATGTATGTATGTATTTATTTATTTATTTATTTATTGACAGAGTCTCACTTTGTTGTCCAGGCTAGAGTGAGTGCCGTGGCGTCAGCCTAGCTTACAGCAACCTCAAACTCCTGGGCTCAAGCAATCCTGCTGCCTCAGCCTCCCTAGTAGCTGGGACTACAGGCATGCGCCACCATGCCTGGCTAATTTTTTTTTTCTATACGTATTAGTTGGCCAATTAACTTCTTTCTATTTATAGTAGAGACAGGGTCTCACTCTTGCTCAGGGTGGTTTCGAACTCCTGAGCTTGAGCAATCCGCCCACCTCAGCCTCTCAGAGTGCTAGGATTACAGGCGTGAGTCACCACACCCGGCCCTTTGCTATCTTTTAATTACACTAAAATTTCAACTTGTGGGTAATTAGGACAAAATAGTGCTCAGACTCAAGTTTGACATGTAATAAGCCACCTTTCTCACCCTACCAGATTTGGTGTTCCAGAGGTGAGACACAGGTTTCCACTTTTAAACAAAGCTGCTTTGGATGCGTAGTGTAAAAATGAAGGTCCTGTATGTTCAAGCCAAATTTGAGACCAACGTGTGTATATTTTAGGACTGAGGCAAACCATGCTAAAGGATAGGAAATTTGTAGAAAACTTGGGAAACTGGAAATAATGCTGGAACTAAATAGAAAAACTGTTTTGAAATTTGAGAATATATATATTTTTTAATTTATAGGCACCAAAGATTATACTAAGAAATGTAATCTCAGACAAAAAATTTCCAACTACATGGATAGAGCAGAAAACATAAAGAAATACTTGGATCAAGAAAAAGAAGGTAAAGAGGCTGTTTTAGAAAATGTATCCTTAAACTACTATCATATAGTCTGTTTGCCCACTGTTTCTGGCTTCTGCCCTTTGGAGCTCTGTGTAGTCTAGGCCATTTGTCTTGGGAGCTTACAGTTTTATTCTGCATTTCTACCCCCCAATACAGGAGGGTAGAAAACCTTTTTTTTTTTCAGTTGGGAGGGTGGGGTCAGGCACCCCTTTTAGCATCTGATGAAAGCTATATACATACTATAGAACTTTACAAGCCATTTTTAAAGAATTTAAAGATCTCCATGAAGCTTATGTGTGGACCCCAGTTTAAGAATTACTATAGAGAAATGCTGCATGTAAATCCTGAATTTTATTTGTATTTCCCTTTATGAAATGACCAAAATTATGAAACTAGCTAAAGAAACTCTTGGCACTTCTCTCAGATTTTCTTGTGAATCAAAGTATTTCAAGAGTTAAGTATTCCTAATGATTAGAGGTGAGGTAGATATTATTCCCTATTTATTAGTTTCCCACATGTAAGTGTGTGTATAAAAGATCATTGCCACCCTTAGCTAAAGTGCACACTGCTGCTGCTTTCTAGAGCCAAATATCCTACTGCCTTAAAAAACCAGTACTCCCAGCCCCCAGCTGTTCCTTTCTCTCTATCCTTACTACACCCTTCTTTTTTTTTTTTTTTTTTTTTTTTTGAGACAGAGTCTCACTTTGTTGCCCAGGCTAGAGTGAGTGCCGTGGCGTCAGCCTAGCTCACAGCAACCTCAAACTCCTGGGCTCGAGCGATCCTTCTGCCTCAGCCTCCCGGGTAGCTGGGACTACAGGCATGCGCCACCATGCCCGGCTAATTTTTTATATATATATCAGTTGGCCAATTAATTTCTTTGTATTTATAGTAGAGACGGGGTCTCACTCTTGCTCAGGCTGGTTTTGAACTCCTGACCTTGAGCAATCCGCCCGCCTCGGCCTCCCAAGAGCTAGGATTACAGGCGTGAGCCACAGCGCCCGGCCTACACCCTTCTTTCTCTACCTCTTCTAGTATCCTGTACCAATCCATACCGTGGGGCCCCCACTGAGGTCTTCTGTTGAGTGGGAATAAAATTGTATTTCCTTCAACCCAAGTTGAAATTTACAACAAAATTTGACTCCAGAACATTGATGAAATATAGTACCATCAGCATTGTGGTTTGAATACATTGAGTTACATTAACCCATGTGGCTAGGTTGGCTTAAAAACTGATGCATAGTTGCTAACATTATCTCTGTGGAATTATTTGGAACAGAATCCAAGCTTCTGCTTTTTAAATAAAGTATAAAGTGCAACACCTTAAAAATCAGGAAGTATCATTAGGGGTCATATTTTTAAAATACCTTAAAGGTCTCTGATAACTTATTCAATAATTATTGTAAATTAACCAAAACAATGGAACTATCCTATTGATCCTGTGATACCTCTGTGGTTGGCTTGGGTTATTAAGTAGTATAAATTTCTACTTAAGACTCTACAAGTGCCAAGAAGGATTTCTAAACTCTGTATTCTACTGCATTTGTGCTTTATACTACTTTAGCTATTAAATTGTAAGACACAAAAAGACAAGTCTGAAGCGAAGGACCAGGTAGCCACTGAGTTATAGCTTGTGGTTCTACCCATGGTGAAAGGAAGTTATCAGACACCTTTATACATACAGCCCTCCCTTGAATAAACTGCCTGGTCTATAGAATCCAGCTCAAGAACTGGTTCCAGGAAATCTCTTGATTTTCCCCCTTGCCTAGCCTCTGTGAAGGCAGAAATCACTCATGGAATGGTTTGCCTTATTTACCTTTGTATGTGTAGCATTTTGCAATGTGTATGGTATATAGTAGGCATTCAATAAGAATTTTACTGAGTGAATAAGTTAAAAAAATTAATTTGTATCTGATTCTGATTAATCACTATACATAAAATGTGCAAAAAGTCACTGGTTTTGATATTGTAGCATTTGTTTTATAGATGGAAAATATCACAAGCAAATTAAAATAGAAGAGAATGCAACAGGTTTCAGTTATGAGTCACTTTTTCAAGAATACCTTAATGAGACAGTTACAGAAGTTTGGATAGAAGATCCTTATATTAGAAATACTCATCAGGTATGTGAAATGTACTAAAATATAATGAAGTATTATTTTAAGTGTACAGTTAGTAATATTCCATCCTAATGTCTTTCAGCTGTATAACTTTCTTCGATTTTGTGAGATGCTTATTAAGAGACCATGTAAAGTAAAAACTATTCACCTTCTCACCTCTCTGGATAAAGTAGGTATTGAAAGCACCTACTCTTTCTTCTTAGCTTTATTCAGTTACAAGATATAGGTCAATCAAGGAAAACCTGGACTCAGTGCTTCAGCTAGATTTGTTTCTTTGGGAATTAACTTATTACCTAACAATATCTTGAGAAAAATGTTACTGACTTTTAGGATATTGACCTTGTATTAGGCCATTTTGCTAAATACTTTCATAGTTTAGCTCAATAGTTTGTCAGTTTTATCTTTTGGATGCTCTAGGAAGCAATCACACTGTTTGCCTATTTACAATTTTGTCTCTTTTTTATTTGTTTGTTTGTTTGTTTGTTTGTTCGTTCATTCATTCATGCATGCATGCATGCATTCATTTAATTTTTTGAGAGAGAGTCTCACTTTGTTGCCCAGGCTAGAGTGAGTGCCGTGGCGTCAGCCTAGCTCATCGCAACCTCAACCTCCTGGGCTCAAGCAATCCTCCTGCCTCAGCCTCCTGAGTAGCTGGGACTACAGGCATGCGCCACCATGCCCGGCTAATTTTTCTTTCTATATATATTACTTGGCCAATTAATTTCTTTCTATTTATAGTAGAGATGGGGTCTTGCTCTTGCTCAGGCTGGTTTGAACTCCTGACCTCGAGCAATCCTCCCGCCTCAGCCTCCCAGACAGCTAGGATTACAGGTGTCACAATTTTGTCTCTTTACCAAGTATTTTATCTGGGGGATAGTACCATGATGTGATAGTGGGCATCTGTATCTTGATTTGATGTAAATAGGAATGCTTCTAAATAATTATGATTTGTAGGATTAATTTGAGAAGATGGCAGCCCCACCTGGATGACTAAACATCATTACTAAAATACATGTAAGGAGAGAGGATGGAGTTGTGTTATGTTCACATTAGGAAAAAAAACAATGATTTTGATAAAAATATTGCTGTTTAAACTCTTTCATATTCTTTGGTTGCTTCTTTGAGATAATAGACATTGAAACTAGTATAGAACATTTACATTTTAATCCACCTATGATATATATTGTGTAGCTTAGGGATAATTTTAAATATTAATAACTGAGGCAGAAAGTTATATTTTTGCTATTAACAGGGCATTAAGAAAGAGCAACAAATTAGCGCCCTGGAAGAAATAAAACAATCACTCAGCAATCATGGAGTGCTGTTGGAAATAGAATACTCTTCTTCAATACATGACCGAGAAATTAGGTTAGTGTACAATAATATTTTAATTTTTGTAAAATATACTTTTAAAATTTCCCTCAATAAGTTTTATATAATTGTATATATATTACATTTAAATATTTGAATTTCAAATAAAACTCAATTTTAGTAACTTCTCATTTTTGAAAAGAAAAAAAGCTTATTTTGTCCTGTATGAGTTTAATATTTCTTTTTTTTTTTTTGAGACAGAGTCTTGCTCTGTCACCTGGGCTAGAGTGTCGTGGCATCAGCCTAGTTCACAGCAACCTCAAACTCCTGGGCTCAAGCAATCCTCCTGCCTCAGCCTCCCGAGTAGCTGGGACTACAGGCGAGTGCTACCAACGCCTGGCTAATTTTTTCTATTTTTAGTAGAGACGGAGTCTGGCTCTTGCTCAGGCTGGTCTTGAACTCCTGAGCTCAAGCAATCCTCTCGCTTTGGCCTCCCAGAGTGCTAGGATTGATTACAGATGTGAGCCACCACCTCCGGCCTAATATTTCACAATGGAATAAAATTTACATGTTCTGTGTCATGTAGGAACAGGGAGTACTTTTCTGTCTACTCAACTATACATATAGTATTATGATATTGGGATAATTTCTAGTGAAATTAATATTTACTTAATGTGGTTTTATTTTTTATGGGTTATTAAATATTCTAGTAGGCATGATAATATGCTGAGTCTGTAAGAAAACAGTATATACAGTTATTTCAGTGATATCTTCCCTTTGTTTAGCACAGTAGTTTGCATATGTTTATAGCAAGGGCACCCTCAGTTTTAATGAAAACTTAAGCACAACCTAAATATTCAAAATGGGTGAAAATGCAGCTGCTGTAGGTAAAGCAGAGGTCAGGGTCCAGGGCTCTTCCTGCTCACATTCCCCATCTTTAGGTAGTGGAATTCCTGAAACACCACTGGTCTTCCTGAATATACTTTACAACCACTTGTTAGCAGAACAGGAAAGTTTTATCAACAAGCTGAAATTTAGGAGTAAATTTTAGTTGTTAAATTATTAGCTAATCAAATAAACTCATTGTTTCTATGAGTTTGTTTCATTATGGACACAGCCCATGATTAACCCCAGTTTTGATTCAACTCATGCTACTTGGAGGAAGTGGTTTTCTTTGTTGGGGGAAATTTTGCTAACACTTAATACGCTACAGCTTTTTTTTTTTTTTTTTTTTGAGACAGAGTCTCACTTTGTTGCTCTGGCTAGAGTGCCGTGGCATCGGCCTAGCTCACAGCAACCTCAAACTCCTGGGCTCAAGCAATCCTTCTGCCTCAGCCTCCCAAGTAGCTGGGACTACTGGCACGTGCCACCATGCCTGGCTAATTTTTTCTATATATTTTTAGTTGGCCAATTAATTTGTTTCTATTTTTAGTAGAGACAGGGTCTTGCTCTTGCTCAGGCTGGTTTTGAACTCCTGACCTTGACCTCTGCCTGCCTCGGCCTCCCAGAGTTCTAGGATTACAGGCGTGAGCCACCATGCCCGGCCAATACGCTACAGCTTTAATAACTGTCTGACTTAAGTGAAATGTCTTGACTATAACACTATATGCTAATTTCAATAGGTTCAACAATGGATGGATGATTAAGATTGGAAGGGGACTGGATTATTTTAAGAAACCACAGGTAGGATATAATTTTATAAGTAAATGTATAACACTGTTTTTATATCATTTTGAACAATACTCTTTTCTTCTCTTCTTAGGGTAATTTTTACCTTGGATATTGTGATTTTGATTTAAGACCATGTCATGAAACAACAGTGGACATTTTTCATAACAAGCACACAAAAAAAATATGATGGGTAGTAGCCTAATTTATATATTTCTACTTTAAGTGAATATTGGATTTTTAAATTTTTGAACAGATCATTTTATAATGTATATATTTCACAATAAACTTACATTTCTACTAATTTATGGATGCATTGTTCAGTTGTGGAACAATCCTAAATATATCTGTACATATATTACTCAGTAGATTTATACTCTTTCTTTCAAGTCATATAGCTAATTTAAACATGTTTTACCAGCTTTTCTCTTATTGAAAGATAAGTCAACAAATAATGAGCATCTATTATGAAGATGAGTTGAATTTTAAACTTGCCCTTGGGGGTGTTTTGAGTTTAGGAGGGAAAATTGTCGTGGATTAGCATGCTTTTAAGAGACATATATGCTTGCCGATCTAATAACCAGGAAAAAAAGTATTCTGTTAAAAAATGGAAAAAAATACAATGTTAATTTTGTTAACAGTTAAGAAAGATAATTGTCTTTGGCAGACATTTACCAACATTCAGTTGTCTAATATTACCTAACCTAAAGGCAAATCAAGCTATTTAGTTATCCAGATACCTTTTGCAGCTCATTTACTTTGGCTGGCATATTTGTGAAGCCGTGTAGCTTAGAATCAACTGTTCTGGGTAAGCTCATCTATCCAGATGCCAATTGAGTGGTTGGGGACAAAGAAAAGGTTCCACGGAGATGGGCTGGAAGAGGGGACGAATGCTAGAGGACGTAAGCTTAAAGAACAAGCTAAGCCAAAGTCTGTAAGAGGAAACTTAGGTTCCAGTATTCGGTATTGGAGAGTGTACATACAAACATCACATTTGGAGACCATTCAGGCAGAGTTAAATGGTGTGGAAGCCATAGGAACAGAGTTGGACAGAGTGGTCTGGGCAACCTTGCACATTATGTGGATTAAACAGCTAATTAAATTAAAAATCCATTTAAAAAAAACCCACTAAATGAACTAAGCATAACATAAAACCTAGGAACTGTAAAGGAAAGAACAAAAGATATATAAATTTTTAAAACTTGAGTAAAAAAAACCATAAACAAAGTTAAAAAACATGAAAGATAAAATTTACAACATACAGAAAAAGTTAACATTTCTAATATATAAGTAAGATGGCCAGATTTTTGGCAGTGACCTTGACCTGACCTCCTTTAGCCTCCCCAAGGACTTGGTCCTGAGAGCACTCTCTTCCTGCTTTACTGCATTATTCCTGCCAGTACACATCCCCAGCCAGATGCCACCCTATTTTTTGTTCTCCTTCATGAATGAACTTCTTGAAAGAGTTCTTTCTATACAGGTTTTTCTCATTTCCTCACTACCTAGTCACACACACTTCAACATACTTTAATCTAGCCACCCCAGTTACTCCACTGAAATTGCATTTGTTAATGTCATGACCTCCATACCACCATATTACCTGACCTTTCAGGAGCATTTGACCCGGTTGGCTGCTCCTCTCTTGAAATTCTCAATTTTCATGAAACATACTTTTCTCCTTCATCCTACCTTTTAAATACTGGAATTCCCCTAAACTAGGTACTAGGTAGTAACCTCATTTTTTTCAGTTCACACACTGTAAGTGATTACACCAGTAAGTGCTCTTAGTAAAAAGCAACAAAAATTGCTACTACCTAATGTAAGCAAAAAGGGATTTATTATAAGGATAGTAGGTAGTTGAGCTGTAGACTGAGACGTGGAGGCTTTGCAGTGAAAAATCACATCTAGAATCACAGCCCAGAACTAATCAGATGATACCCTTGCTGACCCTGATACAAGAGTTGGATGCAGTAGCCTGCGTCACATCACTGGCATGGGACGCTACCATTGTCTGCCTCACTGCCTTTGTTACCCAAGAAATTCAGGCTCCTGGCATTACTGCTAGGGAAGGGTTCTCACCATCCCAGATTTTCTGCATCACTAGCTTCTGATTCAAAGTCTGGAGCAGGTGAACCTGATTGGCAGAGCCTAGGTCATGTGCCCATTCCCTCATTTCAAGGGAGGCTGGGAAAGCGTATATTTCCATGGAGGGAAGTGGGCTCTAGTTCCCACAAAGTTTTTTTTTTTTTTTTTTGAGATAGAGTCTCACTTTGTTGCCCAGGCTAGAGTGATCCCACCAAGTTTTATAAGGTGGAAAATTCCCCAAGCATAAGGGGATTCAGATGCTAAATGGTTTACATTTTAAATTTTAGATTAATTATAAAAGTCCAAAATTGTCCATTTTCATGACTATTTATATGCTGTCAACTCTCAAATTTACAAATTAAGCCAACTTCTTGGAGTTCTAATTCAACTGCCTATTTGACATGTCATATGGCATCTCAGAAGCACACAAACAGTATACCTCCACTGAAATTTTGATACACATTCTCACATTCCACATGTTTACTCCCACCACCCAGCTAAGAAAACTAGGAGTCATTTTTACTTCTCTGTCTCATCCCCATATGTAAACACTCAAAAAGTTCTGCGGAATCTACCTGCAAAATATGCCTTGAATCTGTTCCAGGTGTTGTTTCCTCACATTTCTTCTGGAATTTGAAACCCTTAACACCCTTCATCTGATGATATCCTCGCTCTTGAGGAACAGATGGTATTACTGCACCAAAGCACATTTTATCAGGATTTTTATACTTTTCGCAGAGAATAATTTTCATGTGTTGCAACAAGTAGTGTTTAAAAATATGCCCATGAGAAATCTCAAAATTGTGTTTACTTGGTACTTAATATTGCTGCTAAAAAATAAATGCACCTGCCCATTAAACGTGCCTCAAATCAACAGCTAAACTGCTAATTATGTTAGTCCCAGGAACAACTTGGAAAGTAAAATCCCCTTCACTTAACTCCACCCTGACTCTGAGATAACCAGTTGTAGGCAAAACCCTGTATGTCCATTTCTTCTGTTCCTCAACAAAAGGGGGGGGAGGGTGTGGGGGGGTAGAATGGATCCATTCTGATATATGAAAAGAAAATAATTCATAAAAAAGAGGACTGAAATCAATTTGGTGATATTCAAATACTATATTACATTGTTTCAGAGGTCTCTCAGGGTCCTGAAACTCCTGTGTTTCAGGCTGAATTATGCTTTCCTCCCCTGTCAAATTCATATGTTGAGGTCCTTACCCCTAGTACCTCAGAATGTAACCATATTTGCAGATAACGTCTTTAAAGAGGTAACTAAGTTAAAATGAGCTCTTTAGGGTGGACCCCAATCCAATATGACTGATGTCCTTACAAGAACAGGGAATTGGGACACAGATATGCATGCACCCAGAGGGAAGATCATGTGAGGACATGAGAATGTGGCTGTCTGCAAGCCAAGGAGAGGTCACAGAAGAAATCAGACCTGCTGGCACTTTGATCTTGGACTTCCAGCCTCCAGAACTGTGAGAAATACCTGAGAGTGTCATGGCATCTTTAGCAAACTTATACTCTCGCATTGTTTCCTTTTTGAAGAACCAAAGTTAAGCCCCACCCTGTAAACAGGAATCATCTCTAATTTTTGACAAGTGCCGAATAACACTGTCCACTTCTTTCCGTAGCCATTGCCAGCAACATCTCTTGTCTGGACTCTTACAGTAGTCTCCCAACTAGCTCTCTGCTTCCTATTTTGCCTTATACCAATACAGACCAGCCAGAATAATCTTTATAAAAATGTCTTCTCATTGCACTTAAAATAAAACCAAGCTCTTCTTTGGCTTATCAGTCTCTACATGACTTATCACTCCAACTTCATCTTGCTCCATTCTCCCCTTTGATCCCACACTTGAATCTGCCTGTATCTCTTTCAATGCCTTAAATAAACCTAGCTCTTTCCTGCTTTAGGGACTTCCTCTATGCTGTTGTGTGGCAAATTGTCCCTTACCAAAATGGCTACAATAAAATCTCCCATTCCAGAAGCTCTTGTTATAATGTCTTTGACATTCCTCCCATGGAAATGTGGGAGGAATGTCACCTCCTATTCCATTTTGATGTGCTTGTGACAACAGAAGTGATACTATGTTAATTCTAGGGCTAGGTCATAAAAAGGAAACAGCTTCTGCCCTGCTTTCTTGGGTTACTAGGTCTGGGAACCCAGCCACCATGGAGTGAGGAAATCCAGGCAGCCCAAGCAGAAAGGAGCTGAAGCCCTTAGCTCACAGCCCCAGCTGAGCTCCCAGCCAGTGGCTAGAACCAATGTGCTTCCATGTTGGAAGTGGATGTTTCTGGCCCTGGTTAAACTGTTCTAGCTAATGCTGTTGAATCAAATGGGTCATAAGATCAATCTTTAGAAAAGGAAATGAAATGGAATATAAAATATCAGAGAAGTAAATAGTGAAGGATAAGCATTGTATTGTGAAGCTTGTTAGATAAGCTTTGCTAGCTTTGTTACATGAATGTGTGTGTGGGCTGGGGCACAATGTAAAATATATTTTTTACTCCAATTTCACTCTAGTTTTTAAAAAGTTTGAAAGCCACTATACTAAACTGTCAATTCGTGAGGTCAGAAAACACGTCTCTTTCACTCACCACAGACATCCGACTACTAGCACAGTGCCTGGCACATAGGAGGCACTCAATATCTAGTAAGTACTGTAGAAATAAAGAGTATGTGAATGAGTGAACTGTAGAGACAGGAAAGGGCTAACAGCGATGTTACTCTTTGAAGAAGTCTGGCAATGGAGAGAAAAGGAATCTCGAGCAGGAGAGTTTTGTGAAAAGGGAGATGTAGATATATTCATTCTTATATTTAAGAATTTATATTTAAGGATCCAATAAAAGTGAAGAGAGAAAAAAACACAAGATAAGGAAGATATGTAAGTGATGGTTTAAGGCCCAAACACAGGCAAGAGAGGACAAACTCCAGAGTAAAACTAGAGGGATTAGCTTGAAGGAAAGGGAGATATTTCCTTCTCTGATGCTAAATGGGAAGAGAAATGTTGAAGTAGAGAACATTGGGACCAGAAGGGCTCATTTCTGGTGTCAGCTCTCAACAAATTCTGAATCAAGGTTTGTGACAAGAGTAGTGGAATTCTGAGCTTGAAAAGAGTGGAAACCTTTAGGAATAAACCCTTTCAAGAATAAGGAAGTCAATCAGAGATGAAATGAATCTGACACCAACAGAAAGAAGATACACAAATTGAAAATTATAAATATGAAATTGGGCTAATCTGCATGAGATTTCTGCCCCCCACCAGTATTGCCTGTTGGAATAAGTAAGAAATCAACTGTTTAGATTAAAATTAGAAGCGGCTATGATAGAAGGCCAAGGGGAGAAGCAAATGAGAATATTGGTAAGATAAAGAACAGTATATTTACAGTATAATTCAGGCTAGGGTAGAAGGAAAATAAAGCAAGAAGATATTAGGGAGGGGTTGAGGGCTTAGAAAAGTGCATTGGGCTTGATTTAGTAGGATAGAATGGAAAGTTAAGAAAATATAACCATGTGACGTCACAGTTACTGTAAAAAAAAAAAAAAAAAAAAAAAAAAAAAAAAAATATAACCAAAAAGGGAGACTTCTAGAATTTAAGATATGAAAGGTGGCTAGAAATTTGGGTTATATTCCTTAGAGGTAAGAAAAACAAAGAACTAACTCTGAGGTCACAGTGTCTGATATACATCCCCAAGACAGTAAAAAGGAGCGGAAATATAAGTATGTGCCAGGTATTAAAATCAATGAAGAAAGAAATAGAGTATCCTAGAGTTCACTAGAAAATATGGACAAAGGATAGGTGACAATTTCAGATGGGGAGAAGTTACTGAAAGAGACTAGGCTTTTTAAGAGACATACAATGTACATGTATGAGAAATTTTATTTTCTAATTGAAACTGTATTGAGAAATTTACTTGGAATCACATTATTCCCTTAATTTTTTCACAGAGAATATTCCATTTACTGTGTAGTTCATGGTCTTGTGGACATGTTCTAAGTAATATATTTGTTAGCATGGTAGCTTCAGTTGGGCAAAACTTACTGCCAATAAGACTTGAATTTAATTTGTCACGTATTTCCAGCGGCAACCAATGATCAGGTGCTTCAATGTTACAGATTTCAATTCTTCCATTCTTTATGTCTATGAATACTTTAATTTCCAAGTGTGACTGTTCGTGTAACACATGGAAGGAAGTATTAACACTGAACTTTGGAGTTTTGCCATATATCCACTCCCAAGTTTGTAGTTCTTTGGCTTTGCTATTTATTCCAGGAAACAGTGTCTCATCTGTTGGGTTTATTAGGTTAACGTGATTATCAATTTGATGATAAGCAGCATACTCTGCAGCAATAGCATTCATCAGTACTTCACAGGTCAGAGTGGGATCTTTTTCCAAAAGATTTTTTACTAAGGAAGGTATGCTGGCAGTGGCATTGGTCTTGATTCCTTGGTAAGGGCTCCTTAGCAAAGAAGATAAGAAGGTCCCATCAGTACTACATAATAAAGTGCAATGGTGATAAGCAGTTGTCCTGCCAATCTTAGAGGCTGTTCCTGAGATTTTAAACTGTCCATCAAGTAAAAGGTCAAATCTTTTGGTAGCTTGCACATCCAGCTGGGGTTGGACAGCATTCAGAGCTCTCACAACTAATTTCAGATTTTGCATTCTATCATACTTGTTTTTGGTTGTAAAGAAAGTCAAGTTGATATTACCCAGATCATGGTAGACCGTTCCTCCTCCACTTTTTCTCCGAGCCAGTTTTATGCTTTCTTCTCTCATTAGATTCAGGTTACATTCCTGCCAAGGATTTTGATGCCTACCAATTACAACAGAGGGGGAATTTCTCCAAAAGAAAAGAATTGGTTTGCCTTCTAGATTCACATGGTCATGGATCCAGTCTTCTACAGCCAGATTTTGATAAACATCATTGGAAATCGACTGTAGAATGAGCCCACTTTTTACTGTGTTTTTAAAGCCAGCTGCTGGGATCTTGCTGTTACAAAGTAACTGGAAGCAATTCTTCATTGAAAATGGGATCAGCATGCTTAAAAATGGAAGACAGACAAATTAATGCATTGAAAAGGGAAAAATTCCATTTTGTAGCAATCGATTATTGGTTATTTAAATATTTAATTCTGTAAGTATCTAGTTAAGTTGCTTTTCTTGCCTTTTAGCTTTACCATTAGTCTTTAGCAACTCTATAACAATATTCAAAGGCAATAGGGGAAGACAAATTTCAAATAATTTCAGTTGAAATGGAATAAGGGCACATATTTTTCAAACAAGTCTACTGCAAATATATTATGTAATATATATCAAAGCCAAACAAATTATTCTGTATTCACAAGTAATGCATATTTGTTGAGAAAAATGAGAAAATACAGATAAGCAAAAAAGAAAATAAAAGCATCCATAATCCCGCCACCTAATCATAATTAACATTTTGGTGTATACCCATTTTATTTCTGTGCATGTGTACATATACACACACTCACACTGTCTCCCCCAAAGTATAATCATTCTGTTATTTCATTCAACATTAAATCTATTTTTACATCAGCTTTAATGATTATATAATATTCCATTGTTAAATATACCAGTTTACTCAATCAGTCTCTTAGTCTGTAATTTTAGGTTATTTCTAGTTTTTCTGTTATTAACAATATATTGGCCGGGTGTGGTGGCTCACGCCTGTAATCCTAGCACACTGGGAGGCCGAGGTGGGCATATCGTTTGAGCTCAGGAGTTTGAAATCAGCCTGAGCAAGAGCGAGACACCGTCTCTACTAAAAATAAAAAGAAATTAGCTGGACAACTAAAACTATATAGAAAAAATTAGCCAGGCATAGTGGCACATGCCTATAGTCCCAGCTACTTGGGAGGCTGAGGCAGGAGGATGGCTTGAGCCCAGGAGTTTGAGGTTGCTGTGAGCTAGGCTGACGACACAGCACTCTAGCCCAGGCAACAGAGTGAGACTCTGTCTCAAAAACAAAACAATATATTCAAGAACATCTCTGTGGAAGACTTAATTATGTCTTTATAATACTTATAAAATAATTCCTATTTGAATTTGGAATACATGATTTACTGGCAGCATAAATTTTATTTAGATCAATATTAAATTAGGATGAATCCCTGATGTTGAGAGAGGCACCTGGAGTATACAGGATTATATAGAAAGACTATAAACAAATTCATTATGTTTGGACCCTTTACACATTATTCATGTTAGTATTGCTAGTGAAATATTAAGTGGTAAAAAGTTGAAAATACTAGCTATGGGCCGGGCTCGGTGGCTCACGCCTGTAATCCCAGCTCTTTGGGAGGCCAAGGCGGGTGGATTGCTCGAGGTCAGGCGTTCGAAACCAGCCTGAGCAAGAGCGAGACCCCGTCTCTACTATAAATAGAAAGAAATTAATTGGCCACCTAATATGTATAGAAAAAATTAGCCAAGTATAGTGGCGCATGCCTGTAGTCCCAGCTATTCAGGAGGCTGAGGCAGTAGGATTGCTTGAGCCCAGGAGTTTGAGGTTGCTGTGAGCTTGGCTAATGCCATGACACTCACTCTAGCCTGGGCAACAAAGTGAGACTCTATCTCAAAAAAAAAAAAAAAAAGACAGTATGGCATTAGTATAAAGATCAACAAATACATTAATGAAGCAGAATACAGAGCACAGAAATAGACCCAGAGTTACATGGTCAATTGGTTTTCAACAAATATATCAAAGCAATACAATGGGGAAAAGAAACAATTAATGCTGGAACAATTGGATTGCCATGTGGGAAAAAAATAAACCTTGACCACTATATCACACCAGTAACAAATAGGTGTTGTGGACAATAAACTGGATGGTGTCTGTGGATGTGCAAGGTCTTTGAGACCTTGTGAAATATCTTTCCCTAAGGTTAAGGCTCTCACTCTTGTCTGCATATGCAGAGTGTGAGAGGACAGCAAAGAAGAGCTTAAATTTTAGCCCTGGTGCTGCCACTTACCTAAATAACCTTAGGCAAAGTAGTTTAACCTCTAGCTGCTTCAATTGCCTCAGACCTCATAGAATGATTGAGAACATTAAGTGTGGTAAGATGCATAAAGCATTCATGTCTGGCAAATATAAAATGTGCTATAATAACAACTGTTATAAGGTTTCTCTCATTCCATCTCTATTCCTCTGTGCATACTATTCCTGTCATATAACATGTATTCCCTTAAGTGTACAAGGATTCCTAACCAAGACACATCAAAGTGGCATTTACCTTGATAAATTAACTATAGTCCAAGATACTGACTTTGGCCAAAAATCCAATCTTCTTAGGGTTGCAGAATTGATCCAATTCATGTATTGATCCAATGCATGTATTTTAACAGTCCTCAAAATATTTCTATACAGTGTGAATGAAACACAATAAGGTATTAATTCAACAAGTTTTTCATCTACAACATGACAGACATTGTTCTTGGCATTTGGGATTCAAAATGAGACAAATAACTAATGGTGATAAAGGTTATAAGAAAAAGTAGAGCTGAGAAAGGGAGGATTGGAAATGTATAGGTGAGAGGAAATAGGCTGCAATTTCATTATTTTTTAAAAAATTTTTTGTTGAGGCAGAGTCTCACTCCATTGCCCTCAGTAGAGTGCAGTGATGTCATTGTAGCTCAATGTAAGCTCCAACTCCTGGCTCTAAGCGATCCTTCTGCCTCAGCCTCCTGGGTAGCTGGGACTATAGGCGCACACCACAATGCCCGGCTGGGTTTTTATTTTTTTTCTCTTTTTCTTTTTGGTAGAAACACGGTCTCACTCTCATTCAGGCTGGTCTTGAACTCCTGAGCTCAAGCAGTCCTCCCACATCAGCCTCCCAGAGTGCTAGGATTACAGGCATGAGCCACCATGCCTGGCACAGGTTGCAATTTTAAACAAGATTGTTAGCATAGGCATCATTAAAAATGAGACATATAAGCAAAGATTGAGAAGTTAGGTAGAACACCTGCTATTAGCCAGAAACTGTTCTAGGCACTTGAACACAAAAACCAATAGATAGGCCTCAGTGAGAATATAGCATTTCAACTAAGCCCTGAAGGATGAAAAATAATAACACAAATAGTGAAAAAAAGTGAAACCAAAGGGATATCCAACTGTGAGTTACTGCAACCTCTGTAGAAAAGAATTTGGAGATACCGCAAAGAGCTAAAAATAGAAATACCATTTGATGCAGCAATAGCACTATTAGGCATCTACCCAAAAGAGCAAAAGGTATTTTATAATAAATACATCTGCACCCGAATGTTTATGGCAGCACAATTCACTATTGCAAGGATATGGAAACAACCCAAGTGCCCATCAATTCATGAGTAGATTATTAAAATTTGGTATATGTATACAATGGAATATTAATTATAAGAAAGGATAGTGATCTAGCACCTCTTATATTTTCCTGGATTGAGCTTGAGCCCATTATCCGAAGTAAGGTATCACAAGATTGGAAGAATGGGCTCCACTTGTACTTGCCATCAAATTGGCAATAACTGATTAACACTATGGCACTTACATGGTAGTAATATTGTCCCGGGATTAGGGAGTTGGGGGGGGGTAAACTCACAACTAAAGGACACGGTGAGCATTGTAGAGGGGAAGGGCATGCCTCTAACCCTTGCTTGGGTGAGGCAAAGACAAAATGTAACCAAAATGTTTGTACCCTCATAATACCCTGATATAAAAATTAAAACCAAACCAAACAAAGGGATGCCCAAAAAACCTGAATGCCAGCTTACTGATTTACAAAGAGAACTATAGGCCATCAACCAGATATTCAGATAAGCCTGTCCAATTACTCACTGTAGGATTACTGACAAACTTAGCAGAAGTTTGCTTGATGAATACATAATCAGAACAATACATAATCAGAACATTATTTCAATGTCTGATGGGATGGGTCTTGAGGAAAACACCTCCTCAACTCAGTAGAGCCCAAGAGAGATCCTACTCGTAAGCTGGGATACCCTCTCTCACCTCGGGGAGGCTTCGATTCAGCTGGAACAGGAGTCTCTTTTTTTATCCCACGCTCCAGTAGCAGTTCAGACCCCAAGTGAATGATACACATTCTTCCTTTAGTTGTCAGCATAGTGTCAAGCCTTTGAAAGCCTGGTAAAATTTTGTTTCTTCAAAATCACCTTGCATTATCTCTACTCTCACCCTTTAATTACTAATTTTATACTTTTTCCTCAGAAGACATTCTTATTTCCATGTTCTTGGGGACACTTTACTACCTTTGTACTACTGCCAAACATGCTTCTCCATCACGCAACAGAAAGAGAACAATCCCATCTATCTTTCTAGGTGGGCCCAGCTTCTTCATAAAACTTTAGCAAAACGCTACTATTTTGACACCCAACCCCCGACAATACATAACTTACCCAGAACCTAATTATGGTGGTGTGCATGTTTTTTTACTACGTCTTTTTGCCTCTCTGTGGGCGTGCACACAGCTGGCATCCAACCTAATTTACAAGGTTTATTTACCCTCCCTCCCGTGTTCCGGATCAACCGTTCTTATCAGTGAAATGAGATCGTTCTAAGCGCTGAGGGCAAACTGCAGAGCCTTCAGCACCGGCCGCGGCCGGCCTCAGGTCCCAGCCCGCCGCCCGAGGGAGCCAGCGCGCGCACCGGAGCCCACGGTCGCCGGCCACAGCCCACAGCATCGCGGTTAGACCTGCTTCCGGCTTCACCCACCTGCTGTTTCCGGTCGTGTCCACAGACTCCTGCGGACTCGTGCGGGAGAAGGACGCGTCTGTCTCGGCACCCGCAGGCAGGGCCCACGACTGGGCCCCGCCCACTGCGGCCCGGCCGCCGGAAGCGCCGCGAGGAGGCGGGGCTTCGTCGGGAGCGCGCCGGGCCTACTTCTTGCCCGCGGGGTCGCTGGGTGCTGGAGGTCAGCTGGGCTCCTAAGGGTCCTTCCGGGCTGGTGTAGCCAACGCAGAAGCAGCTTCGAGGCAGGGACTCAGGTCATGTACCGAAAGTCATAAAGCATCAGTTGAGATGGGAGTTCCCCGCGTGACCCCTCAGAGATAAAGGCCACCCCGGGACGAAGGTAGGAGAGGCGAGTGTGACAGGTTAGGGGAGCATTTCGTGGAGCGAGTTTAGGGGCAATCCTCAGAAACCCAGAGCTGCCAGGTCACACGTCGGGTGGAGTACCAGCAAATACTCTACTGAGCATGTAGTCATTGCACTGGGTCTTTACTTATGTCCTCCTTATAGTCCAAAAGGCAGGTAACTCCACTTGAAAGGTGAGGAAATTCAAATCAGTTTTGAAAGACAAGTTGTATTTAAAGGAATAAACGCTGATATTCGCAATACAGAGATCGTAATAAGTTAAGACCGAGTGAATCAGAAAACACTGAGGCTGGTGATCATTACCACGTGGAATATCCCTCATTGCAGTTGTTAAGAGAACCCTGCGGCTCAGCCAGGTGGGAAATACCCCCAGCAGACAAGGTAGCAAGGTAATAGTTTCAGCTAACTATTACTGCTAACAAACTGCCTCAAACAGTGGCTTAAAACAACAATTTATTATCTCAAACATATGTGAGCAAGTTGGGTGATTCCCCTGCTGATTTCACCTGGGCTTATTCCTGAGGCTTCTTTCAGCAAGCGTTGGCTGAACTGGGCAGTCCAAGATGGCCTTCTTCACACTTTGGCAATTGGTGCCACTGGCTGCTTGAGGCACCTCAGTTAAGGCCTAACCTCCAAGCAGCGCTTCAGCCTCACTCTATTGCCCCAAACAACAACAAAGCCAGCCCAGAGTTAAGGTATGCGATGATAACTGACCTCACCTCTTGATGAGAGGAGCCCAAAGAATTTGTGATCATCTTTTTCAATCTTTCACAGCAATCAGTCTCCTTTAGTTAGAGTAGAAACCACCAAGACTTGTCTGTTGGAGTAAGAAGCTTTCAGTGTTCACAGTTTGGTGATGCTGATAGGGTCAATGGCCAAGGCTTCATAGAAAGCTATAATAAAGACACAGTGATTCCTCATTTATTTATTATTACATCTTTGAGGTCACTGAGCGAATCTTTCTTGTATTATGCAGGTGGGAATGGATTCTGTTCAGAGTTAACTCTGTTAACTCTGTTGTAGGAATTTTCCTAGTTATCATTCGAAATAGCCACACAATATTGTTGCTCTCTACTTATATTGCTTTTTTCTAAATTCCATTTCTCTGAAATCTGAAATGGTACAAATCAGACTTTTTTCCCTAATTTCCTGCTAACATGGTGTTAGAGAATCCTATTCCATCCTCCCTACTCCAAGACTTCTGTTCCTTTGATTATTCTTACTTCTGCTGCTTTAGCTTCTCCACTGAACCTTTCCAATGATACTCAAATATGCTGTAATCTCTCTCATCTTTTTTTTTTTTTTTTTGAGACGGAGTCTCACTCTGTTGCCCAGGCTAGAGTGAGTGCCATGGCGTCAGCCTACCTCACAGCAACCTCAATCTCCTGGACTCAAGCAATCCTCCTGCCTCAGCCTCCCGAGTAGCTGGGACTACAGGCATGCGCCACCATGCCCGGCTAATTTTTTCTGTATATATTAGTTGGCCAATTAATTTCTTTCTATTTATAGTAGAGACAGTGTCTCACTCTTGCTCAGGCTGGTTTTGAACTCCTGACCTCGAGCAATCCGCCCGCCTCGGCCTCCCATCTCTCATCTTAATAGTCCTTCAGTGACTTCGCTTGTCTTTCCACTTTTAATTCTGTCAACTAACCTTCAGAGCCAAGCTTACTGAAAGAGTCACTATACATCCAGTATCACTTGTCATTCATTTTAAACCTCCAAAATGTCTTTTTTCCCTGTTATTCCAACAAAAGTGCTTTTGCTAAAGTCACTGTGACATTCAAGCTCCTAGAATCAGTGGACTTTTCAGTTTTCATCTGACTATTCAGTTGACCACCTGCACCTGGAAAAACTCCTGTGGGCAACCTTGACATTACCCTGTCTTGGTTTTTATCCAGGCTCACTGCCAGCTCCTCAGTCCCCTTTGCTAGCTGCCCTGCTCTGATTAGCCCCTAAGAGTTAAGAGTTTCCTCAGGTTTTTATCTCACACTATATGTTCTCCTTAAGCAACTCCCATGGCTTTAAATACCATTTCTGTATACAACTTAAAAATTTATATTTTTAGTTCTATACACATAACTATCTTAGAAACCTGTCATGTCCAAAAACCTTGCTACTGAGCTCACTCTTTCCCCCAAGGAACCTCCATGCATCTAGCCTTTTTTGCTAGAAACCTGTTTTTCATCCTCAATTCTCACTTCCAAACCACCACTACACCCTGCCAAACTTCATCCTGCCAACTCTGTCCTCTTCTCTCCACCTTGATGACCATTGCCGTCATTCACTTGGGCAACCATGTCACTGCAAAAGCTATAAATGTCATGTCCTCAGAGAAGCCTTCTTAGTTCCCACAATTAATATCAAGTTTATGTGTTATGCCTCCTGTTATGGTCTCTCTGAACTCTTTACTTTATGGCACATCACAATTTGTACCATGTATAATTACTGTATTGTATAATTCTGTCTTCCCTGGTAGACAGACAGAAGGCACTATGAAAGTATATTTTTGCTCTCCCAAAGAATTATGTTCTGTAAATGATAAGTATTGTCTTACTATATTCCATTCAAGAATTTTTTTTTTATTTTAGTGTATTATGGAGGTACAAGTGTTAAGGTTACATATATTGCCCATGCCCCTCACCCCTCGAGTAAGAGCTTCAAGCGTGTCCTTTCCCCAAACGTTGCACATCTTACTCGCGGTTGTATATACCCATCCCCTTCCCCCCCTCCCACCTGCCCAACACCCGATAGATGTTATTCCTATATGTCCACTTAGGTGTTGATCTGTTAATACCAATTTGTTGGTGAGTACATGTTGTAAGAATTTTTTTAATTCTATGCTCAATATTCCCTACACATACATTTGTTTAGTATCTTTCTGATTTGTAAAATATTGCCTCCCCCAAAAGATGATGCCCTTTCCTCTTTGTTTTTAATTAATATTAAGGAGATTATGCAGTTGGGCATTAGAGATAGTCATTAAATATTAAAGTACAGTAACATGTTCATATGTCCAGGTACAAAATGATTTTAATTTCATTCAACATTACTTGGGACAATACTGCTGTTTCACACTATCAGATATTTTAATAACTGATACATACAACAAGGTTTTTTTTTTTTTTAATACTAGGCTGTTTTTCCCATATTAAATATTGGTGGCATAAAATGTTGGCATCTGCAAGATAAACTATCACACTTGGAAAGAACTATTTTCTAACTCTAAAATGTATTCAATGTGGCAGAAAAAAGTAGTTTTAAAAAGATTTAAAATGTGAAATGCTTCTGAAGGTATGCAATTTACCAGTCTTTTACAGAGTTTATCTGTACTGATCTTTTACAGAACAGAATAGCAAAATGTAGGAAAGTAAAGTAACCAATAGAAAAATCCCCAGCTGGATGTGTAACATACAAAACTGGTACACAAGAAATTGTATGAAATATTGATGTCAAATAGCTTGGACACTTTTTTAAAAAAACTACTTGTTAAAATTGGAATGTTTTGGTGCCATATGAATACTGTTATTTAAAAACTCTGGTTTTTAACAAGGATGGAATATAGTATCATAGAAATCTGCTTTGAATTTTAGAAGACTTTTTGTCTTCAAAAACCAACTGCCTTTCGAATATGCATCATCAAAAAATGCCATCGAAGATGATTCATAAATAGTGGAAAAGAAAGCAATAGTCTTCCTTCATTTTGTTAGGTTTTCCTAATAAGGTTAAGTTCTTATTCAACACCCCCCCCCCCTTAATGAAAAGCAATTTTTGGTTTCTTTGGTAATATGTACAAATTACTTTATTCCATATCCGTCACTTCTATTCCATCACTTTCAATAACATATACCACCGAGCCCAAGGCTTTCTCTGAAAGAGAGCCTGTGCCAGTTCCTTCAATCCTTGTGAAGTTTTCTTGGTTTGTGTCTTGTAATCTTATTTTCTTGGTGTTTTGAAATAACTGAGTAACTGGTTCCAACCTGTTTTTCTCAGTTCCTTGCATTAAGTGATCGTCCACTTTTGAATTCCTATGCATGGCAGATACCTGAGTAGCAGATTTACTAAGTGAAAATCCCATTGGAATAGCTGAACAATATCGAGGTAGTTTTCAAATATCTTTTTAAGTAGTGGAAATGTTTCTTCAACTTGATTACTGGAGAAAAAAAAGATAGGTATCAAGTGAATACAGTAAGAATTTCAACTAACTTCATGGCAATGTTTATTTAATGAAATGTCACGAAGATGCTAAGAATATAAAGTAAAATTGCCTTCCACCTTTCAATGTTTACATTTTCTTTGTGGGAGAGTTTGCAAGCTCTATGGAGTCCTTTGAAAGTCTTTTTAAAAAGAAATTTCCCCAATTTTACGTTTTGTTACTTTTTAGAAAATAATAGAACTTCTCTTAGTCTTTTCTATCATTTTTGCTAGCAAAACCATTTAATTCATATTAATGTATTAAAAAGAAATTATTGAAGGCCAAGAACGCTGCAAAGTGTTCTGCAAAAAATAAAGATATCCAATAAAGATACAGTACTTGTTATTAAAGAAGTCCAATCTGTTAAGAGAGAGGAACATGCAAGGAGGCCTCGGAAAGTTTCCTAAAGGAGGAGTGCCTAGGTCAGGGTTGCACTTTGAAAGATGGGCAGAAATTTTCTAGGCAGAATTAACCAGGATGAGAGAAGGGACAGGCTCCCTGCAGTGCTTATTGGAGAATAATGTTTTGAAGATGCTCTACTAGCAACCTGAGAGCTGGAGCAGACTCCACCAATGTGAATGAAAGCAGTTGCCCACTTTTTAGAATGTATTACTTCTTTAATATTTAGCTACTATGGTATCTTTTGATAGTTTATCTTTCCAATTCCATGCCCACCAAGCCCTAATTACTTATTGACTGCAAATTTCAAAAGAATCATCTTGAAATCTGTTTATCCATATTTGTGATTGAATATCAGTGTTTAATCTGTAACAAAACAGAGTCCTGGGCCTATTATAGTATCCTAAATACAGTAGTTACTCAAATTTTGTTAATATAACAATTAGATACATAGTATAGATTTGGCTTTCTGGGAATCAAATACAATTAAGCTAAATTTTTTAAAGATCTCTGATGAAATTCTAAAATGTAGGTATATGTCTTTCTTAGATTTGGAACTTGAAGATGAATGTTTCTTCTTCATAAAAGAAATATCCAGTACTGCCTTCAAATGAATAAAATTGAGTTTATTCTATTCTTTGGTTTCTCCTCTTTAATTTAAAAGGAAACACTCTTGTCAAAAATGCATAACTGGATCTAATCATGAGGAAACAATCAAACCCAAATTGAGAGACATTCTGTAAAACCAATAGTTTGTACTTAAAAATGTCAGTGTCATGAAAGATAGAGGCTGAGAACTGTTTGAGATTAAAGGAGGCTAAAAATACATGATTTCCAAATGCAGTAAATCATCTTGAATTGGGGGGAGAGAGGATGTACTATATTATACAAAGATCATTACTTGGAAAATTGGAAAATTTGGAGATGAATGGTTTATTAGATAATACTGCATCAATGTTAAATGCCATGAATATGATGATTATATTGTGGTTATATAAGTGAGTGTCCTTGTTCTTAGGAAATACATGCTGAAATAGTTAGGGGTGAAGGATCATATCTACAACTTGCTCTCAAATTGTTTAGCAATAAATACAAAGAGAAAGTAAAATATGCAAAAGTTAATTATTGAATCTAGCAGGTAAAGGATAAAAATTTGCTTAGCATATTATTGCTGCGTTTCTGTAGGTTTACAAGTTTTTCAAAATGCAAAATTGGAAAAAAGTTTTAAAAAACACTAACAAAACTCTATAAAACAACATATGGCATTTGAAATCAATAAGCATAAGATAATGCTAACTTATATAATGATCAATTTGCATGTTAAACTGGAATCAAATAGCGGGACTAAAGAGGAACCAAATGCAATAGGGTAGGTTTGGCCCTGTGAGTCTCACCTTAACTTTCCCAGAGTCTTGAGGACATAAAGGTGAACAGGTCTATCAGGGGCATCTTTGGAATGGCACTCAGGTTGCCATTTAAGAAGAAATCTTGAATGTATTTGGAAGAATAAAAGTCCATAAAGAGCTAAATTAATTTGGACAAAAAGAACATAGAGGTTTGCTTTACTAGATATTAAGATATGTTACAAAATCAAAGTAACTAAAACAATCTCATACAGGAACAAATTAACAATCAGTAGAACATGACAGAACTGCAGCTTAGACCTAGATATGTTCAGGAACCTCACATATGATATAGGTAACACTGTAAGGCAAAGGAGATAGAACCAGACTAAGTTTAATATGATGGTATTTTGAACACTGGCTCTACTATGTAGACAAAAGTAAAGCAGGATCCTTATATACAAAAGCGGAGTCTAAATGCATTAAAGACCTAAATGTGAATGGTCAAACTATAAATGCAATAGAAGAAAATGTAGGACAATATATTTGTCAACTTTGGGTGGAGAAGGATTTCTTGAATAAGACATAAAATATCTTTAAAAATAAGGGGAAAACAGATAGGTTTAATTACTCATTAAGATTTTCTATTCAATGGAAAAAAATAAACAAAAAAAGACTGGCAGGAGATATTTCTGTGCCCAAGCTGACAGGTGTAATAGCTGGAATATAAAAAACTCCTCAGCGAGGTGCTGTGCCTCATGCCTGTAATCCCAGCACTTTGGGAGGCCAAAACAGGAGGATTGCTTGAGGCCAGGACTTTGAGAACAGCCTGGGCAACATAGTGAAACACCATCTCTCTCTAACCAAAAAAAATTTAGCCAGGTATGGTGATGCACACCTGTAGTCCTAGTTGCTTGGGAGGCTGAGGGGATGAGGGGAAAGGACCACTTGAGCCCAGGAGTTTGACAGAACAGTGAGCTATGATCATACCATTGCACTCCAGCCTGGGTGACAGAATGAAACCCTATCACAATAAAATAAAATAATAAAATAAATAAAATAAAATATGAAAAAATAATAAAATACTCCTACAAAATAGCAAGGAAAAAGAAAACCCCAATAGAAAAATGGGCAAAGGCCATAAAAACATAATTTACAGATTAGGGAATCCCAAATAGATTAAGAGTATATAAAGAGATATTCAAATTTATTAGCAATCAGAGAAATGCATGTTTACTACCATGAGAATGGTAAGACTTTAGGAAGGCGGATAGTATCAAGTATAAGGAGAATGTAGGATGGCAGGAAACCTTGTGTACTGCTGGTGGAGTCATGCTTAATTCCTCTTTATTTTATATTCCACATCCAATTTGTCAATGAATCCTGTTTCTATCTCCACCTTTGTCCACCCCTCCCCAATGTATATTCTTCAAGCAGTATCTGGTTTGAGCCTTTTAAAACATAAGCCAGATCACATCAATCCTCTGCCTAACACACACCAGGTGTTTCCCATCTCAGAGCAAAAGCCAAATTCTACATATCCAGTCCCCAGCTGTGGCAGGTAGAATAGTGGCCCCTAAAGATGTCTATGTCCTAATCCCCAGAAGCTGTGAATATATGTTACATGGCAAAGAGAAATTAAGGTTGCTAATCCACTGACTCTCAGGTGGGAAGATTATTCTGGATTAATTGGGTAGAACTAATGTAATCACAAGAATCTTTTTTTGTTTTTGTTTTTGAGATAGAGTCTCACTCTGTTGCCCCAGCTAGAGTGAGTGCTGTGGTGTCAGCCTAGTTCACAGCAACCTCAAACTCCTGGGCTCAAGCAATCCTTCTGCCTCAGCCTTCCAAGTAGCTGGGACTACAGGCATGTGCCACCATGCCCAGCTAATTTTTTCTATGTATTTTTAGTTGGCCAATTAATTTCTTTCTATTTTTAGTAGAGACAGGGTTTTATTCAGGCTGGTCTTGAACTCCTGACCTTGAGCAATCCTCCCGCCTCAGCCTCCCAGAGTGCTAGGATTACAGGCGTGAGCCACCATGCCTGGCCCACGAGAGTCTTTATATGTGAAAGAGGGACTCAGAAATTTTGGTGTTAGTGTGATGCCATGTGGGAAGCACTTGACTAGCTATTGTTGGCCTTGAAGATACACTGGGACCAAAAGCCAAGGAATGGGCCTAGAAGAGCTGGAAAGACATGAAAATGGGTTCTCCCTAGAGCCTTTGGAAGGAATGCTGCCCTGCTGACATCTTGATTTTAGCATGGTGAGACCCATTTTGGACTTGTAACCTCTAGAACTTTGTGATAATAAATTTGTGTTGCTAAAGCTACCAAATCTGTGACAAACTGTTACAGTAGCAATAGAAAACTAATACACCAGTGAACACTCTATCCTATCTTTCTCCCTTATTCTGCCTGGGCCCTGTGGCCTCATTGCTGTTCCACAAGCCTGTACTATGCCAAACCCTCTTCTGCTTCAGGGCCATTGCAGTGAAAGTTTCCTCAGTCTGAAGCACTTTTGAATTGTACACAACTTCTGTTGGGGTAATTAGTGACGTGGGGCTGAGACTATAAAGAGCTGGTAGACTTCTGCTTCTGGCCATGGTGGAGTAACAGAGACCAGATTTACCCTTACGCCATAAGCAACTTAAAAAACAGACAAAACACAAGAAACAATAATTTTTAGACAATGTATGGTAGGTAGTGCAGGAGAGTGATTCCTGAGGGAAAGGAATAAAGTAAGCCCTATGAGCGCTCATTGCCTAGAATTTTCCAGCCTCCACATGAAGAGGAAACTATCTAATTTTTTTTAAATGAACAGAAAAAACAAAAACAAAAAGAGAATAAAACAAATTAAAAAATTAACAGAGCATCAGTGAGCTGTGGGACAACATCAAGTAGCTTAACAGATGAAGTCCCGGAAAAATTTTTTTTTTTTTTTGAGGGGAGTTGGAAGGGGACAGGGGCGAAAAAGGCAAAATAGAGGTAATGGACTAAAAAACTCAGATCTTAGAACTCCCACAAAGGGTATCTGTCACAAGAAAGAGCAGGGGCACCATATAGGGTTTAGCTGGGACAGTGTGAGGCACATACCACTCCTTGGGCTTCCATAGAGGGAAGGACATTTTTACATTTTCTCAGGTTAGGGGAAGAAGTCAACAGTTCTTGACAGGAAAACCGATAAAAATCTTTACACTCTCTTTTGGCCTTCAAATGATATTTTCTCTACATTCTTTTCCAAAGAATCTTTAGTAACATCTAGGTGGTATACGTGAGTGCTTAAACTGTTCTTATTCTTTCCCTAAGGGAAGTACTTTCCTACTTCATATATTAATAATCTCCCCCATCCCCACCCAAGTCTTCAACTCCAAATTATAGTTTTAAAGTTAGTACATTATTTCCACTTTGTTTTCAATAATGCTAGATAATGTGACTCTTGTGTTCAATAATTTTAGTATCTGAAGAGGTGACAAGATATTTGTTATTTATTTTTATCAATTAGGAATAATTATATTTCAGAAAAGATATCCTCCTTGGGTCCTCTAATCTCTTTATCTAAAATAACAGGAACATTTGATATTTTACTATCTAGTTAATATGTACAAAATAAATGCTACAAAATATGAGAATAACACAAACTGATGAAAAAATCAGAAGAGAGATTGGAAAAAGAAGGGACCTATATATAAATGTAATTTTATGAAGAAATTTGTTCTAACATAAAAATTGTTTATCCTTGCCAATGATGTCTTGTGGAAATAAATGAGTACTTACCTGGCAAAAACAGGAATAGTCTCAAATGTAAGCTTACTTTTGAAATGCACAGACTTATACTTTATCAAGATCATCAGAGGACTGCTGTAAAAACCTAATATCTGTGTTATCTGTAGGAAAAGGCAGGGAAATAACATCACCATTATCGTTCAGAAGCTCTTGGGTTATTTAAGAAGGATGGAACATGTTAAATATTAAAAAATATTTAAGAAGACAACTTTTTCCCAAGCCAGGCTCCAAAAAATTGGTGGAATAATGCAATGTTCAGTCCTTTTCACTAAAAAGCTCATTTCTGCACTTTAAGGTAACGTAATTTTAACATAGTGGGATGGCCAAAAATATTACACTGGTTAAGTTAAATGAATGTTCCCAGACTGAAGGCTCCTAATTGAGAGAAGGCAAGTTTAAATGGTATTAAACAGCAAAACAATCAATATATGAATATCAAGTGAGATTGTATACCGTTTCCTTTTTTGTTAACCATCACCAGTTTTTTTCTGGAAAGAGTACTTGGAGAAAGACTGACATATGGAGAGGGAGTACCGGTCAGGAATCTGCCGGTATTTCATTGCTAGTTCTGCCACTTCCCGATTCAACCCTGATCCGGCAGAGCTGATCGAGGCCATGGCTCCACAGGCTCCCCACACTGCAGGCTGCCCGCGCTCACCCGGACAGGCCGGCATAAGAGGACAGGACTTGGAAGTCTCCCTCAAAAAGGGTCCCTGGCTGCGGCAGGAGCTGCGCCCAAGAGCAGCTCTGCGAGGAACTGGTTTACTGAACGTGGGTCCACAATGATGCCCTATCCCTAGGAAAAGTGGCACAGAACCACTTCTGCGAAGCAAAGCAGGTGTTCAAGAGCTGAAGAAAGACGGCGTGGCCAGAGACCGCCCTGCACATGCGCGTTCCATCCCGGTGCGGCGGCTTCAGGCCTGGAGTAAGAAATACTTCGTGGGAGAAGCGGCTCGCGACTGGTTACTAGGAGACGGGACGCTCGCGGCGGGCGTCAAGGCGCTGCGTGAGCGTGCGCCTGCGCGGCGCGGAAGGGCCAGGAAGAGGCCTGGCCCAAGCGCCCTCTAAGGCAGGCAGGTAGATGTACGCGTCGCTACGTGCGTGGGTGCGCGCGCACGGCTTGTAGTCCCCGCCAGAGGGCGTGTCGAGCCTGGTACGCGTGCGCACGGGCACTGGGGGCGCGCGGGACGGAAGCGGAGCTGAGGCGCCAGGGAGGTGGAAGACGAGCCCCCCTTAGGTACTGAGCGTGAGGGCGGGGCCGAGGGCGGCTTCGGCCGGCGCTAACCGCCCCCGCCTCCTTCCCGCCGGGTCCCGCCTTCCCCCGACTCCGCCAGGGCGGGGCCAGGTCGACTGGAGGGTGGGAAGGGAGGAGAAAGGGGCGGAGGATGGAGACGGTGGGGGACGTGAATCCCTGGCGGAGGTCGAAGCCCAGCAGTCGCAGGGATGAGCTCTGGGGAGGACGGCGGGCCGAGAAGCCTGGGGAGGGACCCGGACCTCCAGGTAGAAGCAGCGGAGATGCGCCGGGTTGGGGAAGGTCTCCTCAGAAGGCAGCTGCAAGGGGGCGGGTGTGGCAGGGTTGGGGCTGTGGGCGCTCGGAGGTGGGTATTCGCTGCCTGGGCTTCTGTGAGGGGCTGTAGCGGGCAGAGTTGCGGGCCGGGGAAGCCCTCCAGGAGCAAACTTTGTCCTTGTTGTCGTTTCTTGGGGGTTTAGGGTTGCGCCCAGTTCCTATGGTGACCGCTTCGCTTCCTGCCACAGCTCTCTGCTTGGTTGGTTGGGGGACTGTTCTGTTTAGAAACGCTCTCGAGTGAAGCTGAGAAGTTTGGAAGTCAGAGATTTGGGAATTCAACCTGGCTCATCCTGACTTCCATTCTCTCACCTGTGAGCCTCTTTGTAGGCTTTGGGTGGTGGAGGTCCAAGATTACTTAGACAGTTGCGTGAAAATCTCATATATATAAGTTCAGTAGAAATTGTACACAGGAAAGGCAGGGTAAACTGGCTTTTGTTTGAAAAAATATTTGAGACTTAAATTGGATTACCATATGGTCATGGACCTGATACCTAAAAATGCATCGAAATACTCCCCCCCTCCCCCACCAAATAAAGTCAAGGATCGTGGCTTTAGGAAAGTTTGCATAGATGACAGTGTCCCAGCATTTTCCTTTTTCAATTCCAGGCTCTTATATCCCCAGATATTAGTTGTTAATTTTTCTACTGGTTTTCAGCACTTCAAGTACACTTCGTTTACCTGTAAGGAAATAAATCGAATAACAATTGGTTTGTAAATAGAATAAAATAGATTAGTTATAAATGTAAAAGGAGGCGTCAATTCAAATCTGTCTCCAGGATAAAAGGAATTCTTGTTTGTATTTTAATTGATCATTGAACCAAACTTTAGTCTTAATTCTTGGAACTAGGAAGGTACATTAATGAAATATTTATTTTAAACTCTAAACCTTGGCATTATTTAATGGCAGCTTCCATAATATTTCTCATTTTGATTACCTTCTGAAGAAAAATCACTACTTGCAACCCAGAATATAATCAGGTTTAGAGAGTCTCTGGTCTCTCTTTTCTGTCAACTCTTTTTAGCTTCCTGGACCAGCTTAGGGTGATTTGATTTTAAAGTCCTCTATATATAAGAGGCAGTTAGAACAGGTGTTATTTATCCTTTTTCAAATTACATATTCCTTTCTCTCCCCAGGGACAGCCAATTCCTAGTTTTTGCCTTATAGTTTCATCATCTTTGTGTGTGAACATGAGCATTATAGTTTGGCTTATTTTTTGAACTTTGTGTAAATGGAATTACACTGACCATTTATATTTTTCTCCTTTACTCAACGTCGTTTTTAAGGTTTATTCTTATTGCTTGTAGTGTTTAGTTTGGTGATTGTTTTAGTTCCATTGTTTAATAGTGTACTGCAATTTAGTCTACTGTTGGTGGACATTATGTTGTACAATTTTGGGCACTTATGAATGACAGTGCTATAAATATTCTTATACAAGTATCCCAGGAAAATCTTTTGAAGTAAGCTACTTCATAAAGTAGTTCTGTTTGTCTTAGTTGTGCTATAACGCTGGTCTGTTACATTATGAAATTACTTTAATCCAGAAAATCCTCTTGAAAATAACTCTTTAACCCCTTTTTACATTTCTGAGAGCTTGATAAACACTACCTCTCCTAAGGCCATTGTTTTATACTTCTTGAAAGAGACAAGTTATTTTTTTACACTATAGTCTGGACTGCAGAAAAAAGAAGAGCTTTAGACAGAAGAGAAGGGTTTGTATGGAATGGCTGGAGAGATTCTTTTTCTTAAGAAAGGTTAAACAGTGTGATTTATTATTTTGTTTAAGTGAATTCACAAAATACTTATTCACTTATTTTTATTGTAAATATGAAATCCTCTCAAAATTATTCATAAAATTTTGTGTGGTTTTTCCACATCCTTCTGTTAGTGAGGCTATTCCTTTCTACTTCAAAGTGTCTATAAATCTAAATTTTTGGAGGCAGTTTTTAAAAAAAGAATACAAAAACTCAATCCTAGTTGAGCTTTTGTAGAACCAGATTTCAGAATTCCACAAAAGTACTCCAGTGTTTTCCATTATTCTGTCAAAATATTCAATAGACATTTGTTAAGCTTATATCATGTGCCTCATATTTTGCTTATCACTGACAATATTTTTTAGCATATGATTTTATCTATTTCACTGAAAAATTTAAATTATATGAGAAAGAAATTTCTTCAAATTTTTATCTAGTCTTATTTAAATGGTCACCTAGCCCTGCTTTTCTCTTTCTTGTCTCAGAGGACAATGCACACTCTTTATCTGGATTTCCTCTTACTACAGCTTTTTCCATCAATTAATATTAACCTACATCTTAGGAATCTTCATTGTTTCTATACTGTAGGGCGGCTTCTTTACCTGGAGTCCAAAGACCTTAGGGAGTCTTCAATACCCTGAAATTATTTGTGAAGATGTATTTGCATTTTTCTGAGTAGAGGACCAGAGCTTTTGTTTGATTCTGAAAGGGATCCTTGAAGTAAACAGAATTAAGAAACAAGTTTTTCTCCTCTTTTAGTGACCCTCCCACAGCCTCGGTTTTCCTCTGCCTTTCCCTCTGTCTCTCTTCCTCTTACAATCATGCTTCCTAAAAGAAGTTTATGTTTTCTTTTTCTTTTCTACTTATTCATTCATTCATGAGTCCTCTTCAAACTTACTTCCATTCTACCTCTACCATTGAAAACTGCTTTTTTTTAATCATAAAAATTCATTGTTTTGAAATGTTTTATTGAGTCCCAACTTTGTGCTGGTCACTTTTAAGGCATTAGGGATTTAACAGTGACTAGACAAAAGCCTAGATCTTTATGTTCTAGTAGCAGGAGACAGACAATAAACAAGTGAGCAAGTAAATGATATAATTTCAAGTAGTGGTAAGTACAAATTATCTTAATGAGAGAGTGACTGGGAGAGAGGCTACTTTAAGTAAGAAGTCAGGGAGGACCCTCTGACATTTCAGCCAAATAGCTGATGGTGAGAAGGAGTCAGCCATGCAAAAGGCTGGGGAGAGAGTGTCCCTGAGAGAGGGAAAGTAAGGCAGAGGACTTGAAGTGGAATGAGGTTGGAAGTGGAATGAAATTGGTAAATGTCTTAGTTTATTTGGACTTCTATAATGAATGCTATATATTGGGTAGCATATAAACAACAAAAAAAATTAATTCTCACAGTTCTGGAGGCTGAGAAATACAAGATCAAGAAGCCAGCAGATTCAGTGTCTGGTAAGGGCCTGTTTTCCTGGTTCACAGACAGCATCTTCAGACTGTGTCCTCACAGTTTGGAAGGAGTGAGGGAGCTATCTGGGGCCTATTTTATAAAGGTAACTGATCATGCCTAGTCACCTCCCAAAGACTGTACTTCTATGATTACTTTGGGAGTTACGATTTTAACATGAATTTTAGGAGACAAAAATGTACAGACCAAAGCAGCACATTAGAAGAATAGAAAGAAAACCAGTGAAGCTGGTGAGTGAACAAAGAAGAGAGCACTAGATCTTTTTAGTGAAGGCAGGGGCCAAATCATACAGGGCCTTAAAAAGTTTGGATTTTATTTTAATTGCAATGGAAAGTCATTGGAGTATTTTTGAGCAGGATAGCATTATTTTAAGTGATTGATTTGATTTCAGTGTGGAGAACAGGTTGTGGGGAGCAAGAGTAGAAACAGAAAGACCAGTAGGAAACTCCTGCAGTGTATTCTGGTGGGAGATTATGGTGATTTGGATGAGGGAGGTGGTAATAAAAATGTAGAGATGGGGTTGGATTTAGGATATATTTTGGAAGTAGAACCAACAGTGCTTGCTGAGTAGAGGATTAGATGGGAGTCAAGGAAAGAGAAAAATCAAGGATAACCCCTCAGGCTTTTTTGTTTGTTTGTTTGAGACAGCGTCTTGCTCTGTTTCCCATGCTGAAGTACAGTGGTGCA